TCTACTATAAATCAGAAAGGCCCAAATCTCATTTCCCTCTCTACCCATCTCTAACCCATTTCAATTCCCTACGTTGGCAGCTCATTCCTTATATTTAAGTCATATTAGCATTCTTCATGCTCATGTAATTTCCATATCACGAACTCACTTGGCTTCTCAGTTTATCAAAATCAGCTACATAATGAGACACTTTCGAGAGTAAGCAGAAATCATCTACTATGAATTGACGTGGGAAATCTGTAATGATACGCTACAAACTCCGTGTAATCGCTTACACAGCCTATTGTCATTTTAACAAAGCTTGCATGTTCATAAAGCTACACTTACATGCTAAAATGATTTAGGCTTTATCTTTAATATTGATTAGCAACAAATATAGAGAGAACCTAACTTTTGTTTTTTCGTGGTAAGGTCTATGGTAGGATTTCCCCACATATTAGAGCCGAAAAAAAAAATAAACAAATTTCCGTTCCTGAGTACATCAATATGCGGGCACATTTTCGGTCAAAACACTGAAGTTGCACATCCGCGTGTCGTTTGCTGCCACATAAAGACATAATCAAATAACGAATTGCCTAGAGCCAACACGCGTCACAGTAATGGCAAATGGAGATAGCTGAATGATAATACAGTAATCATTAAAATACATGGAACACATTAGAAACTAACTCTCCTATCTGTAAATGCAGCAACTTTGGAAAACAAATTTGGGCTTAGGTAGATTCTATTTCTGTAGGTGCTTTATAAAATTTAAACGAAATAAATTTACTACAGGATTTATTTTAGTAGATATGATCAAAAAAATCTTTACGAATCCCGATTTACTTTTCTCTTAATTCAAGTTTGCATATATAACACAGTCGCGACAAGTAATGCCAGAATATGCGTTTTACATCGCGCAGAATGCCATATTCCTAAAATGGAACCTTCAAATTCTTAGTAAATATATTTTTGACATGAAGCTGAAGATAAGCTTGATCAGCCAACGTGTCCTATTTATGGTATCTTTTGCTCGGTTATTAGCAATTAAAAACTATTGTCACACAATTTCGTACAGTGAAGTTCATAACTGTAAAGCACGGGCTTGGTACGTATACACCATTGTCCTGGTATATACGTACCAAAATATAAAAATAAAATCTGATCCTTTAATATGCGTTATGTATGATTTAACGTTCAATGTCCGCCATCCGTTATTCGATTCTGGAGTCAATAGAGTAGAAGATTTTCGCCGCATGTACAAATCGCAATGCGGATAATCAGATGTCTAGCGAATTTTATCGAAAAAAGTTTTTTTCAATTCGGTTTATCTCCTCGAAGCCAGCATAAAGAGATAAAACGACAAGATAGATTCCTGACACATCAAAGCCTTGACTTCAAGATTCCAACAATGAAAAAATTTCTAGAGGCCTTTTTAAAACGTCGAACTTATGATGTGCACTATTACCAGCCTCAGGCCAACTCTTCCTGTCACTTTTTGGTCTTTGCTAGTTCGTTCACCCGTTCCATTCTTTCTTCCTGTAGCTATTTTTCGTCTGTCCGTCAAGAAGCACCAACAGCTGCTTGATTGCACACGGAAACAGCTGCTTCTTGGTATAAGACCCAAGGGGGCAGTACATCTCAGAGATTTTTCGTACAATTCTACAAAAATCATGTGCCTTATTCGCGCATATTCTTCGAAAGGCCAGGTAGGGAAGATGAACAGGAATACTGCGTGGACATTACTATAGAAAGGTAGAGACCAAGAGAGAAATACTATTGCAGTTGGGGGCTTGAGACGTAAAAGAAGCAGCGGTTGTAGCAGGAGAAACCAATCCTCTTCAATAATTGCGCTAGCGGCGTAGCACAGGGATCTCAGTGAGCGAATCCACGCACACTCCCAGCTTGTGACAGTGTTACTTGCTGGTCTGTGATGACGATCCGAATGCTATGGTATCGCTCGAGCATCCGGCGGTTTGTAATTACTTTTCATAGGCTTGCGTATATTTCTGCTAAAATAACTTGAGGCTGCACATTAGCACACACAAGTATAGGAATGAAATCGGGTGAGTGATTAATAATTATTAGCTTTATGTGAAGCTATGTTTGATAAACATAAATACAATTTCGCAGTTTAACCGTAATATGTTCATGTAAGTCCCAATCATGCGGCAGGTAATAATAATAACAGACACATTTGATACATCAAATAAAAATCTGTACTATAGTCGCAAATAGTATGCAATAGATTAATATAGCAAAGAGTTGTATAAATGAGAAAAATTATTAATGCTTCAGTGAGATCAGATAATAAGATCCAATTCAGTGCACGCGTCAAGATACAGTTCCCTAAATCTGAATCTTAGCTGCTCTTCTTGTTGTGCTTAACTGTAAGTAAGCTTTGCCAAATTCGAAGCTAGTGCAATGTACCCATTTTTATGTATGGGCATAATTTTTATTTTACTTGTTCGAGCTCCACCAATGTGACAGCGGCAACGCGTATAAGATCCTCAAATATACATCGAAAACTTCGGCTTTGTGGATAGATCGATTCAAAATTATGTTCACTGGGGTATTGACTATGTTCTAATGAAACCGCTATAATAAGGAAAGCAAAGTGAAATATCGCTCTGCCCGAATATCTTCCATGCATCAACTGTATCAATAAAACGTAATGGGCCTTTCTGAAAAGAGTATGTTATTGCAATCTCTGTATATAACGTAATTACTATTGTCATAGCCACCTTGATTGAGGCATTCTCAAAAAATCTTCACAGCGATCAGTGCATGTGTCTCAATTAGCTAGACGCATCCCTCGGGGCATTCTGCAACGCGGCATTATACTCGTTTTCTACAATTTGCTCCTAGTATATCAAAAATGACTTAAACTGTGTATGTCGAATGTGACATTAATCAGTAAATCCACAATTCTCACCAGTGACTTAACTTGTTCTTTTTTTCAATGAAATCAATTATAGATGGTAAACGCATATATTTTCCATTAAAAAGTGTTTTTTAAATATTTTTCGCAAACATCTAATTTTACCAAGCATACTATTCTCATTATGGTGTGTTCTGATGAAGCAAAGCCTATACATAAAAAATCACAACTACTCTTACTGAGCTTGGCACAAATTTAAGCAAATTATTTAATTCATTTTCAATAAATGTTATAAAATACGATGTCACACAAAGATAGTCAAGGTATACCGTTATCTGTGCCATTTCTCAACCTGTACCATGAAATTCTGTAGTTTATGGAAGAGCTTACCACACATTTGGTTCTGCATTAAATATTAATATAGTTAAATATACAAAATAGCTGAGCGGTTATTTAATAAATTCGAAAAAGATAAATAATTACTTGTATTAACATAAACAATTAAATCGATTAGGTTTCTTAGGTTGCCAAGTATCCGGCCGTCAAGAATTATTTGAATAACGTGTTGCACGTATACAACATAACGTAATTAGTCCTTGAGATAAAAAAGAAGGTCTAAGTCCACAAAAAATGGTCTTTTTTTCTAAATAAAAAAAACTGGCCTCTTAAAAAAATTGGTACAAAACTGATAAAATATAGATTGACATAGCGTGAAATAGTCAATGGTCGCTTTTTTTAAAAATTCTTTTTTACTCATTATGACGTATTATCACAGTAATTAACGCAAAGTAATTGTTATTTCTTTGGCCAATCTCTCTTTTTGCCAAAACATCAGCAATGATCACCTTTAGCAAAGCTCATACAGCAAACTGCAAGAATAATTAGGTAGACTGTGAATCCCTAGCCTCTCCTAACAGTAACTGTAGAAGATCGTACAGATGTTGGAGTGGCTGTTACAGGCTGTTTAACATTCGTAGACGTATCTTTGGTTGTTGTTGTTACTGCTGTGTGACGTGATAGTTATGAAAACATTACTATCGACGTCATTCATTCGACAACATTCGGGTTGACTCATTTCGCTGAATAATTTATATTATAGATCTTTTCATACTACGTATCAAAGATATAACAAAGATCAAAATAAATTTTACAGCGCGAAATCTCGAACTATATGAATGAAATAAGTAATGCAGTCTTTTTTTACCATAGGCCTTCTTGTCATCAAGCGCAAGCCAATAGTAGACGAGCAGTGAATAACCAGAAAGGAAGAGAAATGATCTAGATGGCAATCTTTAAAGACGCTTCAGCTGCATTTCTTCAATCATGATCAGAATGTGATTCTTTGGCTAATACGGGCCACTTTTATTAGTTGTTGCTTGTTCCGGAGAAGCATTAGGAAGCAGGTAACGGAACCGGAACTTGACTGCCACAGATCGGTTCTCGTCGCCCCACTCGCACCAGCGTAACGGACTTATCTCGTTTAGCAGCGATCGCAGTCAACTATCGGTGACAGCAATGATACTGCTGTTGAACCACTGCTATCGTCAGACTGATGAACACTAAAAACATCTACTTTTTTAATAATCCCGGACCTGAAACATCTTTCGTAATTTTTTGTATGGACATAAGTAGAATGGATCATTGTAGTGATGTAGGACCGAAGCAACAGAGTAGCGCATATACGCAATGGGGACCAAAACTAAGTTCTACTACAAGCGAAATATTTCAAACGAGCCTTACTACATTGGCTGAGCCGTAAACCGGTTACCTAAACAACTGTGAAGGTCGGAAATCATATTCTTCCATAAATTTCATTTCTTCCTTTGATGGTATAGACCTAATTTTAACATATATAAATTCGATGGTAAATGATCGGTAACATGTAGCACGAATATAATCAAGATTGACGATGAGCACGGTAAACAGCTATATTCCTCAAGCCCTACTCTTTCTATCCACCACTCTCAGGAGTGCTATAGTCTTTTTACAGATTCTTCTAGCATATATAGCGTGACATGGGCAACTGCGAATAGGAATTATCAACTGCGTAAATCATACATATATAGAGTGAAAGAAAAAGTAAAAGTAGCACACACCCTCTACAGGTCTCTACTATGTATTATATTTTACGAGTACATACCGTGTGATTGACTCCCCACATAAACACGCTAAGCAGGGGCTCGTTGGCGCGGAACAGTTTGGCCTTCTGCTGCTTAGGCTTGAGGTGTTTCTTCTTCAGCCGACTGGCGCTTTTCGCTACTGAACTCATCCTGGCGGATGTTTTACTGCTGCCGCTGTTAGATGGTAATTGTTGTTTAATCGTAATCTAGCTTTTCTGGCCTTTAAAGCCTTACCACCCTGACACTCATGCACAGACGAATATCAGGTCGCAATAAGTTTTTTTGCCCTTCCACTTCGCACTCTTGACACCTGTATGGAGCCCTTCGCTATTGCTATCTATTGTTATTATTATTAGCAGCACTATAATGAGAATTAGGACGATGCGCGTTGCCAGCTGGAACTACTTGAAACAGACTGCCACACTCACGCAACTCATCAGTAAACACATTGACACTGCCAGCGTGATCAGCATCACCGTCAGCAACACCGGCAAAACAGCTATTCGGATTTGCCCCTGTTGTTCTGTCGTAGAAGTTTCTTTTTAATCGAACTACAGCTGCTGTTGATTGCAGTAATGATCGTCGCAGTAGCGATAATAATAAGAAACAAACATCTAGAAACAGACTTGAGCTATGCGCATAGTATTTGTGGGTTCGCCTAATCCTGTGGCGTTTCCAACAGGAAGCACTGATTATACTGCTGCCGCAGTCGTTGCTGTTTCGCGGATTTTAGGACTAGCAGCTGCAACTGTAACAGCAGTAATCGTAGCAGAAAGCGGCAGTTAACCGATCAATACTATTCTCCAAACAAGGGCACCAGTAAACATACACGATCCATTAGAATCAACCGTTCGTTCGCTCGCTCTAATTCGGTTCGTCCCTTCGTCCGTCTGACCGACCGATTACCATCAGTAGACTGAAAACCTTGCCAGTCCAGTAGATTTGTTGTGTTCTGCCTATGTATACACTATACGGATGAACATACTTTTTGATAAGCCACGGTTTAGTGAGTCAGTGAGCGAGCTGCTGGTTGACCGGTTACGCGGCTGATCAGTTCGGTATTCAGCGAGCCAGAATATAGTCAGATAATAAATAGATAATATCCATGCTATGTATACACTCTGTACAGTATTATGATAGGTGACCGTAGCGGTAGAGACTCTTGTTGCTGTCGGGTGAGTGAACGTGCGCACCGTTCACCCTGGGCACCTGCTGCTTGCTCCTTCTGCTATTCTGACCACTCTGCTACTCGATGAGCAGTCGCACGAAGATCTTCCCTTCAACTGTTAAATGCTGCTGCAGAGTATGCTGACCGTCTCTATTCACACCAACCAGCCATGCCAGCCTTTGCAGATTCCCCCACACACTCACTGTCTCTGCAGTCGTTCCGCACAGCAGTTGACTGGTCCGTTGCTTCCAGCGAGCTCAACGACTGGCTGAGACGACACTCGAAGGCACCCGACCGACTCCTAACTAAATGCGACTGCCACTACGACGAGCCGCGAACATCAGCTACTTTTACGAACGGCCAGAGTAGAGTAGTCCGCAATACCAGACAGCAGGCGGATACAACACAAGTGTTACGTGAATCAGACACAAGTCGACAGCCACTGTCCAGGTGTTACTATTACTCCTGCCTGTCCAAGTGCAACCTCAGTTCCCGTTCTCAGGCCTTACAAAGACACCAGGAAGAAACAAAAACGGAGGGACAGATTGCAATTCAATCCAGTCGTCGTCTCTGTTGTCCTCTCATGCACCTCGACCCAAACATAGCCCATTTAAAAACCACAATACACACACACACATAGATAGACACACACACACACACATTGACACTCGACCAGGGACCACCCAATCCAACAATAACACTATGACTGGGAGATCGCTAACGCAATGCGCTCACGGGGACGGCGATACAGCACTGGCCCTACTGGCTGGTAGCTAACAACGTGTTAGCAGACGACAGATCCGCGTAGTCACTCCAAATAAAGCATACGGCTATGAGCATCATCGAACCACCCACGGCTGCTGTGAATTCTGGTAGAACCTAGAATCAGCAGCTTGATGATCTCCTACACAATTTTGTTATTGTTATTTGCCGTTATTAAAGGATGATATGCTTGTAAAAAACAGAGGGAACTAACTGAACAACAGACCAGTCCCCGTAAAATGGAGCAGACGAAATGGCGGGCTTGTTCACTTACAAGCACAAGTGGCCATCCCGTGTACGTTCGCTGACATGGCTCTTCGCTTTCGGACCATAGCATTCTAACGCAAACCTCTTATCGCCCATTGAATTGCCGGTAGTTGCTCCAGAAGTGCAGTTTTGTGTACACACAATTTGCAAGGGTATGATATAGTCACGCAGGCGGGTCTTTGTTAAGCTTCATGTAACTTCATAAAAAACAGTTGATAGTGACTTTTACTTAGGTTTGAGGACACTTCAAAAGAGGGTATTTTTTTGGCATAACCTCGTATCGATGTATAATGTTGCGTCAAGTTCTAATTTTAAAAGACACCAGCCCTTGATAAATTAGCGGTACTCAACGAGTTCTCGTCTTTCTTTTTGCTCTCTTGCCAATTATTAGTTGAATAGTTTTTTCCGTTACAATATATTTTAATCTTATAGATATAATAACATTTTAAACTTCTAGATTTTGTCACTCAGACTGCGAAAATTCGAAAAGTTTCAAAAGATGTTCACATCGCATATTTGACAGAGTGGCCAAAAGCGACAAAAATAGGATGTTTACTAGCCGTATAGGCTGATCATTTAGATATAAAAGGTCTCATTTCCATATCACGCTCGCGTATGAAACTATCTAGATCTCAAGAGAACTGGGAATTTCGCTGGGGTGCTGCAGAGCTTCATATAAAATATCCAAGTGCGCTTATATTAGAAAAAATTTCAACTTGAACTAAAAACAGCTTCATGCACTGGAAGTCAGAGGAAATAAAGTTTCTATCATAATGTCCACCGTAATATGGAAACTAGCTTGCAACCGACGGCCGCCGAAGTACATCGCGCTTTCTGCTTAGGTAAATGCAATATCTCAATGCCTTCAAAGCCGTATTATCCCTGCAGGTGCTGAGAAGAAGTTTTAATTATTCTAGCGAAGTTAGTGTGATTCTGGGAAAGTATTATGAGGCACTGTGTAGCGATACGAAGATGTACTCTGAAAACTGATACTATTTTGTACAATATACGGGACTTTCATAAAATGTGGGGAAATGAGAAGTGATTGCCTGGATTTCTGTCCAGCTATCGAGGTTTGAGCCTTTACGCCACAAGTGCTACGATGGTAACGAATATTCAACAACAGTTTTAGAATAGTTATAGTAACGGATTTTCGAGGATTTCATTGCTAAACAGCCGTGTTTTTTGAATTTAAATTTAAGGTTTTCAATAAGGCAACTGAATAATTGCGTTTGCCACGTCATTCTGGTATATGCGACTATTTAGAGTCAATAAATTCTCTAGATAGTCTGATATTTATTTCGATCAAAATACTGTAAAAATGTATATACCTATCATTCACCCTTTAAGCTTACCAAGATCCAATTACTAAAATATGTTCAGTGTCTGAACTTAATATGGATAGATAAAAGCCAATGACAACAATAAGTCATCTTTATATTTGCAGACAATTCGTGTAACAACACTGAGTTATTTTTTAAATAACCATTACAGTCATTGACAAAGTTGTCGTAATGAGATATACGTTCGTGTACGATTATGTTTTTATAATAAACTCTGGTTTGTTGTAGTGCAACGTACGTGCGATTCTCAAAGCCAAACTTTGAAGTCGTGCGGGAGAGATACACATCATCAGATTAGAGGGCGGCATATGAATGTCATGCTATCTTCACTATATTTTATGGGCTGTTCGCACTGAAAATACGACGAGGGCTACTAAAGGAAGCACTCTAGGTGGTACGCTAAGCTCGATGTTGGGTCAAGATGTTGCGCTACTCGATGCCCGTGTATTTGAAGCAGTCTTTGGGTCATCCTGGCCTAGGCAATTGATGGTGATTATGCATCAGTGCCTGAGGATCGGCAGCTGGACGTCAGCGCCATCGATATTGCTGTTAAACCGGGTAGCCCTTTTTCGGGATATATCGATGCACCACGAGCATATGTTGTTATTTTTCCTTGCCGCCGTCGAATCGGAGGTCCGGAACTGGATACTTGATAGGATGATTCTATGCTATAACTTCTGGTTTTACTCTTTGGAAGCCAAATACACAAGTATGGAAAAATAGAAACGGTGTATAATGTAGATGGAACACATACGTTATGCTAAAACCTCAGCCATTTTAGGTATGGATCTCACCGAGGAACGGTAGGTGTATTTGCCTGGTGAATAGAACTGAGAAATAGGGTGATTAAGGGCTTTTATTCAAACCTTTTATGAGAGACGGCAAAAGTCCCTATGCTCATAGCAGTCGAGTGTATCAAAACCGTAACTTATTTCGATCGCGCACCCATGGGCAGACCATCTTCGAAAAACCAGCTTCAATAGGGCTATTCAATAATATGTGGGGCAAATGTCGATTGCCTGGGTCTGGCGTCATGAGTGTTGTCGCCTCCCACAAGAAATTTGTGGCGAAGCTTACGTTTAGACTTTCGTGGTTTTTAATGGTCATCTGTGTAAGTAACACTTCATTCAATAATTGATGCAATGCACCAAAAAGCAAGTAATTAGCTAATTACAGTTAAAATGTTGACGCTCGTATTGGTACCCAGCCTGTGAGGGCATTTAGTCAACACCGCGTTTGACGCCTAACATCGAAAGGCTTAGCATGCAACTAAAATGAAGTCTAGCTTAGTTTGCTAGTTTTAGTGCGAGAAAACTTCTAGATAATGATGAATCATGTTCTATATGGGGCAGTTATGAATATAAATGTGAAACGTTGCCCATTAGTCATTCTATCGTATTAACAGACATGTCATTTCAACACTTCTTCTGGTTTTAAATTCGTGCCGTAAGCCATTCGAGTCAGCAAGACGATTAGATCAGTGCGTGGCTATAAACCTGAGCCTTCAGCAGATTGTGTTGCTCTAACACCTCTCTAGTAATGAGGTTGGACAAAGTTGGTGTGTCCACTTTGGCCCTTCGGGCGGTGGCTGACGTCGATGACGGCAACAACAACAATAATGTCGTCGTCCTCGGCGTTGTAAAATGTCTCCATGCCGATATCCTCTGTCGTCTGTTTCCGCTTAAAGAGGAAGTAAATTGCGTTTCGCGGGCTTTGATTTCACTGAGACAACCAAGTTACCGCCGCTCTCCTCGAATTGATCTAATGAAACAACCAAAGTATGAAGATAATCGCTAGACCTCTCATACTAATATACAGTGCAAGGTGTTAAGTTTGTTAGGTGCTTCGAACGATGGAATTGGCAGACTTAAATATGTGATTGGGCTAACTTCTAAGCTAAGAAGCGGGTAGTCCACTAAAGCACGAAAGAGCGCGGAGAAGCCACAATGTCTGCCAGTTAGATCGCTGCATATAACAATCACACGAAATTTTATCGACAGGCTGAATGAATTAACGAAGCTTATACATTATAAAGCTTTTCGCGCTGATTTCGATGTTACAAAAAGATAAAGTATTTTTCCAGTTGTTTCCCACCGATATTCAAGGATGCAGCTAATTAGAATCTATTTTCTAACTCTCCGTTTTATACCTTATAGGTAAGATGACAATGTCTATTGATAGATTTATATGCATTGTTTTCGTTCTTTATCGTCCATTCGTGGGGGGGAAACTGCGGCAAATTCTCGTGATTTTTTTAGAGACGTAGAGAATTAGCGTTACCTAAGCATTTTGAATAGATAACAACAATAACAACAAAATTCACGCTGAATAGAGACAGAGGAAAAATGAATCACGAGCAAAGGTTGTCCTCATCAATGGCATTCATCTGTCACGAACGTGATGGCAAAGAAATAATATGAAAATTGATGGACAATTTATGAGCTTTATGGTAAATTAGTTTTGATCAGCGATATCACGAAACGTATTGTCTGTTGTAGTAGCAGCAGTAACAATTTTCATTTGATATTAGCGAAATGTTGCCCGCCGAAAGCTTTTGATATGTGTCACTGTATCATTTTGTTTTTGATTCTGAGAAGATCCTAATATGATACGTGAATTGAATAAGGCTTGTATATTATTATGGCGGTGATACTTCACATATTGCGGAGTAAGTTTCAATAGGTAAAATAGTAACTTATAGCCACCGTTTGCAAACATATAAGGAATCCTTTATTCTAATAATAAAGGCATCGTTTTTCCCAATTACCGATTATGAAATATCACAGAGAAAAATATCTTTAAAAAAATCATTTGGCTTGTGGTAGAGACTATAGTCGACCGTCCAACTTTCTGTCCCAAGTAGTGTTTTCGCCTTATCTTGATGGATTTATGTATTAGCAATAAACTTAACAAAATCGTTCACAATTTTTTTTTTAAAACTTACATATTCCAACGTAATCACACTGCCATCGACTTTTATACCATTGAGACGCTATCGAAACTAGACGTTTAACTTTTTGTAAACGTGAATGTAAATTCGACATATTTTAAGAATTGGTTGTCTTGATTGGTAGGACTAAGTATACACAACGCATTGGCCACTAACCGACCGAGAGCTTCGAACTAGTTCGAACTCTATTCGTTATTTTAACTTTTTCTTTGTGTTACCTTACAAATTTGAGCAAGTGAGTTTTAAGAATAAGCTTAACTAAATAAGTTTTTCGCAGCTATTTCCCTTTTTTTTGTAGTATCTAGGCCAACACGGACCTGCAAATTCGGTTACGAGCACTACAAGTTTTTAGACGTATCGTGTGAGATGCATTCAACATTTTAGAGGCTTATTTAAAAATAGCATCTTTTATAATTCAGAAGCTTGTCCTAGCTGCAAAGGTCACGACAATCACGGCATATCGTACACTACATAGATGAAAATCGCCCAAAATGAGAGCAATATGTATCTAGATACCCTAAATTTACTTTTTGTAGTGTTACTAATTCTTGCGAACAGTTAGCCATTGTCATTATTTTATTATAAGTCGATTTTTAAGAAGTTAATTCCAGTTCATGCTTGGCGTGTGCTTCGGAAGGGATCGTAGGCGGAAAATTGGGGTATAGTCTTTGAAGGAGGAGAGATAACCTGGCGGGCGATTCAAATGAGGAGTATACGGTCATGCGTGTTAGCGTCAGAGGAAGAGAGAGCGCGTGAAGTCCAAAGAGCAACAGAGGCAGTTACAAAGTGACTGAGCATAGTGAGACAGACCACAAAGCGCCAAGTTTTCGATTGGAGTGCGCCGACGCGCTTTATCCGTCTATGATTAGCCGTGTGTTGGCTCCCCTCCCACTAGCCGGCGACAGCGGGACAATTCCACCATTAAAATACTTGCACCCAGTGAAGTATGTCGATTTTCATGAAAAGGGAACACGTAGAAGCGATTGCGTGTTGTCTTGTTCGGGAATATTTGTTTCGGAAGTCGCAAGAAATTCAGGTAAGATTAGCGGAACGCGTTACGAACGTGGATGGTCGTTGTTATCGTGAGGTTGCCGCGGCGACGAACCACGAATGGCAACAATAAGCATCATTAGCCTTGTGTTTTGTCTGAGGCGAATGGGAAAGTAAAAAAAATTAACTGGCTTTAGCATTAGGATTTGTTCTAATTCTAGATTTTGTTATTCGTACTTAGCCATACCCGATATGCAAAGGCAACATGGCGACAAAAAACTTTTAATCTTCACTTCAATCTAAAGCACTATTTCTATCCCGGTTACCGCAAAAAAAAGTACGTCCCGGATCGTGTCACGAGTGTAACTACCAAAAAATAATATGTAATGTAAGATAATAAATTATTCAAGAAATGGGAACGTCTAAAGCAAAAATCTGTTCTTGCTAATAGAGTCGTTTTAATATCGATTATTTTTAGATATTCAAGTTGCAGATCGCCGAAAATTTGTACTTCTTTCAAACGGGAATTGAACAGTTGAACGTGGAAAGTAGCCCTTACGAAGCTCACTCGCCTTGCTGAAATTGTCGATAGAATCACTTATAGTTCTACTAAAAGCAAACCAAATACTGTTTTATATTCAGAAAGACTTCTTCCCGTAGACGGGCCGACACTGTAAATATTAAAGCATGCTTTCAGCGATTTTTAACGGGATTTCGTTATTAAGTTTAAAAATACCTCTGATCAACTTTAGAAAAAGTCCGGCCTCAGATGTCAGTGTCGTACTAATCGTAGCACGCATCAAAGAAGTAGCTAATACAATATAGCACGGCAATCGAGTTGGGTTATGAAAGCATTTACGAATTTCTGCGATTACAATATCAGAGGTAAATCTTATTTCTCCATTGATCGTTGTTCCCATTTGTGTTTAATCCTTACTCGTTGTTTGGTGCACCTGGGTGTCTCGCAGAGGAACTCTTTTCAATTGAACTGTGTTTAGAACATGGTCACTCCAGATTTACAATAATCCTTTCAGGGATTGCGAGATGTTTTGCACGCACTGGAAGAAACATTTCCGCGTACGCCTCAGTGTTTTCAGCATAGGGATCAGCTCATTCGTGCAGTTAGCCTCGAAAAAGCTGCCAAAGAAAATAAGGTACCAGTTTATTTATACAGCAGCATAAAATCATAAGATAAAATCGGGATTCAAAGTTATCTGATGATCAGTTTAACGAGAAGCAATTATTTATTTTGTTGTTTAGCAGTACTTTAGGACAGTCGAGCGCCGTTATCTTAATTGTGCCACGCACAAAAAACATTAAATACTTTCTCTTCAATACATTGTTTCCTCTGATTCAAGCAATTTCAGTAAAAGCCAGATATATATCTGGCAGTATATTTCTACAGGTTTAATGGGTCGCATATTGTATCTGCAATATACAAACGATGCATCCGATTTTGTCTTGTTTATCAGTTCTGGTTGTGCACAGAAGCTTCCTGATAATTTGGTCCTTGTAAAGTTACTGGCCTTTAAGAAGCTAAATAGACACATTTCTTTTTTTTTTTGCTATTTCTAGTTGTCTAAAGGTTATAGGGGTTCTACGAGGGATGGAAAATTAGCCAACTTCGAGGTTAATCTGTGTATATATACGCTTTCTAGCCGCTGATGCCACCTGTGCTGTTTGTCGTAGCGAAGTAAATAATCCATATTGCAAGAGGCTTGATACTCAGTTCTTCTGATAAAAGTTAAGCTAAATAGTGAAAGGTAAATAAATGTCTATATGCAGGTGGCCGCCTCATCGTACCGATCTCTAATTGAGATCCTGGTTGCCGATCGTTTAGAACGACGTCGACTGAAAAGCCTCGTTCGTGGAGACAAGGACCTTAAACAACTGGAAAAAGATGAAGGAAATTCAATGAAAGCAACCGACGATAAGCCTTTTGTAATAGCTTCCGGCTCAGCCACTGGAACCGTTAAAGGAAGATTGCAACTTGATGACACTGTCCACTTGCTTCGAAGCCCTAGTCCCGAAAGGGATCGAATTAGTCCAGTCGGTATACCTGCAAAAGGTTTGTGTGCATTCATTCACAGTAGTCTTATCGCCTATCTGTAGAGATTGTAATGATGATTTAAAGAGGGACAGCGTAGAGTCGATTTAACTGTGAGGTTTGTAGCCATGGTATCTAAGTGTTAAGTATGTTACCCCTTATTTCGTATTTATTTCGTAGAAGTATTTTATTTAGTTATGGACAGATAATCAGTTGTCAAATGACGACTGAGTCCATAAAACTTTGTTACCGCTTGGGACTATAAACTCAGAACCTCTACGTTATACGGGCGTTGGCGATTAGGCCAAAGCGCTCTTTCAGCATTATTTCTTTCTGGGATAATAGTATGTCTAAATGGGTTCATGATAAACTTTATCTCTGTCAGCAACGACCTCAATTCTAGCATCTCATACCGATTCGCGACCTCTTCTTGGTAGACGATCGGCCTTGCGCAGGGACTCACCAGCAATTTACAAGAGCCCGCCCAAAGAGACGGATCACGAAGGACTAACTTCTAGCGACGAGGAGGTATCACCAACTAAGGTATTGTCACATATCGTCCAACCGGTCTTATTGTTTTTATTAATATGAACGGTTTATTTTCCTCATTTCGAAAGCAATTTCTCTAACTAATTTACATAAACCTTACCTTGAAAAGAAATAATCCTTAACAACTGATGTAAAAATAAGAAAGTCCTATATTTCAGTACATTTGACCGTTGAACAGCGAAATATTTACTCGATTTTTTTACCTGTGGACTATATCGATCGGAAAATTTTGTACCGAGACAATCAGCAAGATCAACAATAGCTACTGTAAGGCTAAATGAAACAAAGAAAAAAAGAGGTAGCTAATACTGCGGTAATTACGACAAAACTTTTGCATTTAATTTAAACAGCGCTGATAAACTGCTTTAGTAACACTCCGCGTATACATAAAGCTTACAACGAATATGTGTGCTGAAAAATCGAAGCTTTGTAACGAAATGATAATGGTTTCGCATGGAAATGCTTTTTCCACAAGAGATTTATTCCAAGAAATTATCATATTTTTAGTGTTTCGCCCAATATAGGTAAAGCAAATAACTCATTGAAATATTTTTCGCGGTTCTAGACCTTCGATTGAACTGTGTAAATGTTCTTCTTCGGTATCATTAATACCTTTAGGGGTGCTACTTTGATGTTTTGCTTTGTTTCTCGCCGTCGTTGTCGCCTGTGGACCTTCAACATTTAACTTGTCTATCTTGTGACCCAGGAATTTTTTTGAATATTTAACTTTAAATCAATGCATAGATATCCTTGATTAATTTACTACGAGAAGATAACAGAGAAATAATAGAAGAAATAGTTTGCCACATAAAAAACAGCGCAGTAACGAATACGCCATAGCGGATATCCGATAAACGCACTTTGAAAAAACTTATGGTCAAACATCGGTCAAGCGTAACAACAAACATCCTACTAGTCAAACAATGTATTTTTTTTATCAAACAGAAACACTAGATTTTTTATTTAAATTCATGATTTCTATTCAGTGGAATAATTTTCCGATCTGTTATTTGTAGATAGTAAATTATACTAGGTTGTGATGGATAATGGTAAAACTAGGCAAAAAATTTTACTATGTCGGTAGGTGAGTCTGCAAACTTTCAAAAATATATCGCATATACTTCTGCGTTTTATTTATTTCCAGCTTCGCTTAATTAATCAAAATTAATTTAAATTATTATTAATAAAAAAATATTTTTCTCTGAATTCAAGTAACTATAATTGATGTGATAAGCAATTCTGCTATTTATAATTATTTATGGTAAACACAAGCACATTATTGCAAGTATAGCTTTTTTTCAATAAAAACAGTATACTATTTAAGATAGTTTATCATTTCAACATTCATTAACCAAGGCTAAAAAGAGCGGTTGGATGAGCTTCTAGTGAAAGTCATCCGGTGGATATACTTTGAGTTTGTTATGGTCAAGCATTGGGCTAATCCAAGTCAAGCGTTCTTCTCCCAGATATAATGAAAGACCGTCGCCTTTAGGTAGAAGCTTGAGAGCATGTGCTGCTGAAAATTGAGAGATCGATAAACGAAATCACCTTTACGTTAATAATCAAAACGGAATTTCTACCTAAATATGGAAAACGTTACCGACTTGAAAACATCTAATTTTTTCAGCTGACGATTCTTAAAATCGTCCTTATCTTATTTTCTCACATTTTTCCGTAACGCGTTTCTTTCGGAACTATTAGAAATAAATATTAGTATATCAGAAAGTGATCACCCAACATACATTGGTACTTTCATGAGTTGTGTAATGTTATATTTGTAGATTATTGGCGGGATTTAATGTCCCCGTGATTTGTTCTATTCAAACCCAAATCACTGAAATTACGGTAAATCAGAGCAGATTTTGGTGGACTGTTTGTCGTAGCAGGAATACGTTCACCCGGTATTCTTGGTACCGAGGGAAGGCCAGCTCTTTTTAAAACAAGACAGCAAACCCATTGTAACGAAAAACGGCGCTTCGTTTTTTTTCAATTTGCTCGAAGATCAGCTATCACCCGACCTCTTTGCGCTGGAAGAACTTCCATCAAAATTAAGAATTTTTTTTTATTTGTACGAAATCTGTTTCTGAAGAATTCGAGTTAGACTTCCATAAAGAAAACTCCTCAACAGCATTTAGATATGAAAGGCGAAAAAATCATTAGGCATTTGAAGAATCATGGTCAATGCACTCGGATTTTTTCTACAAAAACGGCTATTTTGGAGAGCAAAATATAATAAAATGCCGGGTGGATCAATCAGATAAGTTCCAGTGGTTAGTCTCTTTGAAACGTTATTGTATTCTTCACTTTTTGAGGCACTCAACTTATTATAACTCCAGAATTTAATCCTCCTAAAATTGTTTTATACGCAGCATATTTAAGCGACACTTTAACAGGTTTATGCTAACCGATACTGCGTAACGTATGGTAACTATTAGAAAGTTGAATTTTGGACGAAAAATGCAAATATTGTTAATGGATGGTTTAGGCCCCAAGCTGAAGCTATAATTGCAGTGGATGGTGGTGCTATTGAATACAGGTGTCCGCTAAAAATGATATGTCCACCATGCAAAACATGGAGGAGATATTGATCTTTGTTTAGGTGCAATGTTAAATGCAAAACTATAGGAAAAGTCCTAATTTAGGTGCCGTATCCTGTATATATGCGTATATTCTGTATATTTGCGCATCCATGGCCATTACCTAACTCAAGTTCTTTAGATAAGCTTCCCATTGCGTCTTTTTTCATTTATGTGATAATTAATTGAGTTTCACTTCATAGTTGATATTTAAGCAGCCACCTGACCCTCCACAAGTAGTATATCTTACCCAGGAACATAAACAACCGTTAGTGAGCAGTATCGAAGCTAAAAATTTTGTGAATGGGAAGGAATCGTCATATCTTTATATAGCGTCTCACATCGACATCTGTAGTTTGTTTACAAACTGATAAACTTTTCCGGTTCTTTTGCAGCCTACTTCAGATAGAAATTTCTAGAAAAGGAATAGGATAAGTTATAGCTTATGATTCATTGCAAATTAACCTAACCGTTTCTTCCAAAATAGGCCTTTGTCAGAAAAACGGCATCGACACTAAGGTAAACTCGACGATTCCTGTGGCTACCAGGACCCATAGTTTCTTGACACTCTTGTGATTCATCTTGCGCTTTTCAGCATATATTGCATTCAATCAAGTGTTCTCTTTATCTGATTTAAGCTGTAAAAATACCAGTGCTTTAGCCTGTAACATAAATATTTCCAATATATTGCGTTAGGCCTTCAGGGTACTAATTTTATTACTACTATTGCAACTTACATGGGAGCCTGAATGAACGTCCTATCTTTGTACTTCCTTTATTTCCTATCAGTAGATAATTAAAGTAAATCAAGGCTTACGGTTGGGTGAAATGTGAATGTGCGTTTAGAGAAATCCAGGTATATAATTGGGAAACCAGTAAGCTACCACTGAAGTAACATCTCCCAAAGCAGAGGTTAATTTATTTTTGATAAATGGTTTCCTACTTTGTTCAACCGCATACCTATTTCTTGTATAACTGTAGGCTTATATTGATCCTTGTTCTTTTCCCCGAATAATAATAATAAGTAATGATCGATAAGTTTTGCAATTATTTCATTAATATAGATCCTCCTATAAAAAAAGCGATTTGTTCAAAGTTCATCGATTGAAAGAGCTGCTTGAAGGACGCACCAGTATCATTGTGGTCTCATTCTTGTTTCCACCAAAAAAAATGAAGATCTAACTGATGACGCTTTTAACAGATACTTTTATCGATGGTGTGACCTTTTTGTGAGACTTTAATGAAGCATAAATTCAAGCCATAAAGGATGGGATCCGAATGCAACTGCGGTTTAGCGTGCATTTCGTTAATAACATAAGCAAGTTCGTTATGTCAAAGTGATGGGCGGCGGACAACTACCATTTCCAAAAGCAACAGTTATTACAAACGCTGTGCTTCGTCATAAAACAGCAGAACTTTGGGATTTGAAAACAGGAAGTATAGCCTTAGGTGATTACCCAGGTGCACAAAACTCAACAGTGACTTTCTAGTTCGTAAGAGTTATGACTATATCGTATACATTGCAACTAGGCGAAAGGGTGCTTACAAAATGGATAGACGAAACTCGGGAGACGAAATGTTCGGATTGAACTTTAGCGGGATATAACAAAGCGCGCTCAATGCGAAAAAAGATGGAGAAGCGCCCTAGATAATAAGGAGCACTCGTTTCTACGCTAATGTTCACGTTGGCTAATAGTAGACACCGTTTTCCGACACGTAAATATATCTGCTACCTGCTTCCTAACCTATATATTATTGTACAATACACAATTTATGAAGAGAAACATCTGTCCACAAGAAGGCTGTTCTTCTTCATAAACGTAGTTTCGCTGGAAAAACTTGCGAACTGGAAAAAACCTCAATAACTCGAATAGCCAACTGCATAGAATCATACATTTTTTTCAAAAGTCAATTGGGTTTTAGAGTGAAATGAGCACATTGTTAAGCGCAATTTAAACAAGCCTAAAAGCGACAAAACTCAATGTTGATAACGTACTTTATTCCGTTGCACTGTCTGTCAATTCCGCTATTGGCTTCGACAGTATAAATGGAAAGAACTTCGTATTTGAGCTTCAGTAGAATAATTTCAAGGTGAAAGCAAGACAGTGTCTATCCTGCGAGCTAGAGGATAGATGGCAGCACATGCAGTTAGGCTGCATACAATCTACGATCTTACAGACAAACAAATACATAGTCAAGACCAGACAGGATATACCCATTGATCGTGTTGCATTTCTATGCCTCATGAATAGCTTAGAATAGAGAGCCTATGGCAAAGCTACAACATACGTTGATGGCAGTATCTTTAACAATATCACTTCATCAGTATGGAGCTCGGTATACAATGGTACGATGATACCTATTTTTATTACCTATTTTTTTCCCACAATGTTTCGCTACCGACTCATTTAGCAAGACTGATAAAGTTAGGGTTAATGCAAAAAAAGTCTGGCGAATTTGTTCCAAAACGGTCGCTACTAGAAAACGCTGCCGTGCCTTGTATATCACTAAGTGAGGCTTTTAGGAGTTAGACTGATGACAAACTCAATAGTTTTCCTTACATGGAGAATCCAATTAGACATCTGGCAGAAAAAGCCAAGGTTACAAGGTATCTAATAACGTGTAGAAGTTTTGACCGGACGTAAATATTGTTGCAGCATCACAACCAATGCCTTATTCCCCAATTAGACTAAAATGTAGACATTTTTTTAGCCTATTGTCGAGTTACAATGATATTAATATATTTCATCAAAATCAGAGTCTCTGCAGAGTAATATTTTTTGCTGTCATTTAACTCGTTAGTACTATTTATTGTTTTAGTACTATATACTACTATCGGATTTTATTATCAAGCAAGGGGAACCGTACTGTTAGCGTTGGGTTCGGTTGGAAAGTAGGTCTAAGCCCAAAGAAAATTATTAAGAAAAGGCTTTTTGTTGCCTTGCATAGAGACGTTGTAATTCTGTCCGGAAAAGCTAGAGAACCTGGACCTCGATTTGTAATTGAAGTAGATCATTTTAGTTGTTCTTTGTCCCAGTTGTCATGAGATTTGTTTGTTCTAAAATTGACAGCTGATAGCAACTTGAAAATACTTACTTCCGTACGCCAGTGCAGTAATAGTAGTACTTGTGGTATAACGTAAGTAATTCTTTTCGGATAACGAAAACAATCATCATCCCGCGGGTGCGGTCGTTATGGCGGCAACACCGTTAGGAAGTTCAGAGAGCGAAAACGAAAGTTCTGGACATGACTCGATGTTGACTCGCTGGTGGAGTGAACTGCGAACATGTCTTCTTGGTTTCCAGTGTCAGGAACGTGAACGGGATCGACCTCGACCTCAAAGCGCCCGGGTCAGGTACAACGCACAGGATGGTCAGACAGTAAATACAAAATCTGCGGCTGTCATCATCCGAGATGGTATGCAGGTAGTCAAAACAATGTGTTAGTTTATAAACCGTCGTTCGAAATTTGTAACACGGTGATGTAGATAAAAACCTATTCGACAGTCTTTGTGCGAGCGAACGACACGGTCAACCCGTCACATTTAAGTCTTTTATTGTGTAAGTTATAATCATTGGTATGTTCGGGCAACTTAAACTGCGTAGCTAAAACTATAACGAATAGGCTTAAGTAGTCATATGTGTATTTACGATACACGTTTAAATTAGAATATTCATTCTTTTAGATATGCGAAGCTTCAATTACCAAAATGTTAAATCAGACGGTATTCCTTTTTAACAGATCCTTACGACGCTTTATAATGGACAAATGTACTTGGAATAATATAAAATGACAAATAGAAATTGATTTAATAAGTTTATTTAATAATAATAATAATAATTTAATAATAATTTAAGTAAACTGAGTAGAAAGCGACATTAGTTTTTAAGTGTGCGCATTTGGAGTAAGCAATTCTAGAGGAAAAAACTGTAATGAAAAGCATAAACATGGGGTATGTATTTAAGCCCTTACATCTTTCACGTGGCAATACAAACGCGGGCGTTTTCTATTACCCAAATAAATCATTTGTTTGACCCCACTAAATACTCATTTCAATTGGATTGGTCAGGACTAAGGTTTGTTGGAAGTAAACGATATAGCGGAGAATACCTCTAAGATATTGCCTGTCTTGCAGTAAAATAATCTATCCTGATAATAGGTTTAATTATTATGGTGGCTTGCTTTTCATTTACATATCGGAAAATTCTCCTAAGAAAGGGGCACTGTTACTGATGTGTGGATTGACTTAGTATTACATATATTTATAGAAGACGAGGTAGCCTTGAATGAAATGCCAGTTTGATGAACTATCTTATGCTATAATCACAGGTGATGTTGATCTTGAGCGGCGGAAGTCAGCTTGGTCGCACTTGACGAAGTCGACGAATTCACATATATTGTCGTCCAATATTAACCCCAGTGGACCAGCTGTAGCTAGTAATAGCCCCATGGCTCCGCTAACGCCGGCTATGGCGTCACTAAACGCCTATGTAATAACAGCGTCTGACTCTCCTAGTAGTCAAGAGACTAGCAACTCTCTACGCACAAGCCAGATTACGTCCAGTGCCTCAGCGCTACTTGAGCGAACCGATAATATTTTACGAAAGAAGGCCGCCCAGGTTAGTATCTAATTATCCTATTCCAAATTACAATAGAACTTCCCTTAGTACAAGGGTGTCGGCGGCTGGGTTCCGCCGTCGAGCAGAACCTTTTTGTCAGGCTTCTGTTAGAAGCTACGATAATCGCAAGTGACAGTAGATTGGTCAGAAAGGAGCTGCAGCCAATTCCAAACTTGGATGCCTGAACAGTTATTTATCCGCCTGATTTTATTTGGCACGCTCCTTTTTGGATAGTATTGTGCTGCGTTCAATGCACTGCTTACATTTTGCTTCAATTCGGTAGTAGCAGTTCGAGATTGGAGGAGGGTAAGCAGAATCCGTCAGTCTGCCTGCTTTTAGTGCCTCAGGGCTAAGAACACGACTACAAATCTTAAGCAGGCAGGCTTATTTCGTGAAATCTCTGCCTTGGCGCCTACTCCACTAGGTTGCTGTCGTACTGTCTGGAATTGTTCACGTGTAGTTAGTAAGATTTTAAATGCGAGCAAATAGTCGAGCATGAACTTCATAGCCATTGCCAATAACATATGCGTAATTCTCGCACACTAAAAATTCTGTACAACAACAGTATCAAGCACAAAATCACACGGAAAGAGGGGTTTTACAGGAAGGAAGCCATTTCGGAGAACGTGTCGGCACCTTAGAAGATTAAATCAAATTTGAAGGTGTGCCCTATTATGAGGAAAACCTCAGCAAGAAAGTGGAATTTATGCAGACGGTTAAAAAGTATAAGTTTTCGGAGAGACAGAACTGTGTAAAGTGACCTTATTCTATGAAAACGTTAGGCTCTACATGAAATCGGCAACGAGGAAATACTTAAGTATATAAACAAAAATCCTCTTGCATCTGGGCCGTGTCCAACGTCTGTACCTGATTACAAATTATTCGAAGTCCGCAACAACGAAGACCAGCTACTCAAAGCGAAAGGCAGGAGTCCGAAAATGAGTCTATGAGGATGCCATTTTCGGTTATCGAAGGGCTTATCTATAACATGGAGATAGGTTTTGGGTAATCCAAAAAATTAATAGTCTATTAGGGAATGCTAGCAACACTAGTGCTGAGGAAAAATTTTCTGACGGATCCCCCTTTTTCCCTCACATCAACACCTGAAAAGTTATTGAAAAATGGTTTTCTGGTAAACCCGATTTTCCATCAGAAATAAACCATATAAAAAATCTTAATGAATACGTATTATTTATACAACAAGGTTAGTTGTAATATTTACAATTTGTAAGGCTACGTATTAAATTCCTTTAACAACTGGCATACACTTAAACATCATTTGAGTTGCGCAAGTCGGCACCGAAAGGCTTAGCAAATCGTTTAAGAAACGAATTTAAAAAATGGAAAGCATTAGGCAATCACAAGATCAAAAGGCTTTGACCTGTGGAAATTTTCAAACACCGGGAAGGCGCTTGAGCTTCTAAAAAATCATCGGAGTACTTAATCCTACTGATCATCATTTGTGTAGTTACGTGCTTATGAACTTGAACTTGGTTGAAAGCAAACCCTCTTATTTTAATTTGCCGTCTAATTGGGTCTCCTGTTCTGAAATGCCCTGCCATTAGTTAGCACTAGCAATTGCATCGACGAGTAACCGTTAACTAACGGCTATTTAAGCTTTCTGCGAACAGGCTGAGTCTTGGCAGGCGTGCGAGGGTTGGGCAGACGATGACGACACTTCAAAGGAAGATAAGCACTTTTTCATTTAACGTGATCTTCTTTCTAAGCGGCCCCCTTTGCGCGGGGAGGATGTCACCTTGGAGGATCTCACCGGGCAACAGGACGATCACGGACCGGCACGGCCTGAGACTGGTCGGATGTTTGCGCACAGGAAAATCACTGTCAGTGAAAACGAGGTTAGTAGTTTTTTATTAGAACATACGTGAACTACGTGTGAATACGTGTGATATCACTGCGATATATTATTAGCCTGATCAGACACGAAACATGCAGTGTTATTTGAAGCGCAGTTTTATATATTATCGAAATATAATCTGTGTATACATAGAAAAAGGCAAAACGCCGCACGAGATATACCGCGTTTGCTTGTCCCCTGTACGAGCTAGATCCGATACAAAAATGTATTCTTACGACGTGTTTTTGGGTTGTGTTTGCAGCAACTTCAAAGGCTTCTGTTTGGTGATTCCTCTCGTACCTTCGGAGACGAGTGGCTTCGGCAGGGACTAGAGTTCTCCCGTGAGGATAGTCATGTGGCCTACGGTTTGAGGCAAAGCAAAGGAGGGCCGTGCGGGGTGCTCGCCGTAACCCAAGCTTATATCTTTAAACACTTGTTGTGGCCCGAAGGAAAATCAGAGTTAGTGTATATTTCACTCTGTATATGTAAAAATGAGGTTCGGACGAGTTCGTAATTATTACAACAGAGGTAACCGAATATTTGATACGTATAAAGATAGTAAAAGCGACGACTACGATGTGGCCGGAAACGTATTTCCTAATGCGCTTTCTCCTACAAAAAAAAGCGTGTCCATTGCGATGAGCTTTACTCCGACGTTATAATTCCCGTGATGGCTCAATAACCTCTCGAGCTACGAGCTAATGTGTGGTTGTTAGGTCTTGTTTGGGGGGAGGGGAGGAAAGTATGTTATGGAAGTCAGCTATTTTGATATTACAATTCGGTTGCAACGGAGGTATTAAACTACTAAATATATTAACTATTAAACTGTGATTTGTCAAAAATGTTAGTCCTTCTGAAACTTCTTCTGAATTCAAACCGGTTTACGCTCAAGAGCTTTCCACAAGACGCAGCCCTACCAGTCAAATTTCGTCTACCAATAGCGCGTAGTTTCAAAATTCGCGGAGTTCGTTTGTAACACTTTAGTAATTTAATTAATGGGATTTTTCAAATGTGTATTGTTTAGTACAAGAGCTTCACTAAGTTGGTCACTATATGTGCTTTCTCTGTACCAGTTGATCGAAAATTCTGTCAAACTTAACTGAATTAAAACTTACGTAGTCAGTACATACTGATCGATTGATCTAACTTGCAGGGTTGGTGACATGTCATCCAGGTTACAAGTAACTGAGTCGTCACGTCGAGGAGCTCTGCTACGAGCCATCCACGAAATACTGGTTCAAGCGGGTGGAAGTGATGGACTCAATTCAGTGAAGACTCAGAGCGGGGGCCCTTATAAGTACGTTCTTGGCAAAGTGGCTGGGAATTCACAACGGACGGCATTTACCTCATTAACGATCTACAATCTGCCAACTTCGGAACAGCTAATGGGTAAGTTCTAGTCGATTATGCGCGTAGTCTGCGCACATGCAGGACAACTTAAGGGCGAATTAAAACACTTGGTTATTAGCTCAGCTTATAGGCTGGATTGTTCAAATGAGGCTTCAGAAAGCACAAATTAAGCTAACCCTTTATTAATAAAGACAATAATTAATAATAGTACGACTAACCGTACATTCGTTTGTTTCCTGAAGACTTAACGTAAAACGTAAGTTTGACCTCAAGATCAATCTGTATTGAATCAATTTGACTGATTACAATAGCTATAGTTAGCTATTGCTAAATTTTTCTGGTCGGTTGATATAACGTAAGTGTTCCATAAACGGATTAGGTTTCCTAACTCAACATCAGGAAGAAATTCTACGTGACGGTGTTGTTCAACTGCTTATTTCGGTTCTTCTATGCCGCGGTGTCGATAACATTCGCAAGGACATGGATTCTCCTGACCACGCACTCATTGGACGTCATAACCACACGACACAAGAAGTGGTCAACCTCATGTTGACCGGACGGGCTGTCAGTAATCTTTTTGATGATCGCCTTGATGTTGAGGGAACTATTTTGAAGGGAGTCCAACAACGCAGCACATGTGGTCTTCTATCACTTGTAGAAGCCTATGGAATAATTGAGGTGCGTTATCTTTATCGATTTCCTAGTGAAAACTAGTTTGGTTTATATGTATACATACAAGCAAAAAATAATATACGCTAGGTAAGCATAAGCATTTTGACGCTAAGGAATAGGTATTTTTTGCCTTGCTTGACCGGCTGACTATCAAGGAATTTGTGGATTCTTAAAGCCTTGAAAAGGCTGCATAAATTTGCCTACTTTCATTTTTTTACATGAAGTACTACAAATATAATTTGCAATTATACAAAATATTACAGCTTATATTATGCTGTGTTGTAGGTGGGTTCTTATCTGAAGTGCCCCATATTCCCTATTTGGGTACTGATCTCGGAAAATCACTATTTTGTCCTATTCGCGACCTCAGTCGCAGTCCTGGATTGCCGGGTTCCTTTCGAGCTTCTTGTCTACGATGGCCTAGCGAACTCAGAGAATGCTACTGTAATTAAAGTCGGTGAGTGACTCCCCTACATTATTTAGGAATCCTACATCCGCTTACTCAAGCTAAGCAATGAGCTTTGTTCTAGGTAGCCTAATGTGACGACCTTTCACCCTTCTAGTGAATCGAATATTTGACTAACAAGGTCAGCTTTTAACTCAAAAGCTTTACGTTTACGCAATGGCTGCCTCATAGCCAGTTTTTGTAGTTTGTCCCCTTTACCTAAAACTATTTTTCAGCTGTGTTGTGGTGACATCTGTTACTAGAAAGTGTTTGGCCTAATTAAATCATCCTGCTAAAATGTCTTCATCAATGCCTGTTTTTGGAACTTTGGCCTGGAACAGTTCATGACCAGTTCCGTTCCTCCGGCCTCTTTCCCTATTATAGGGAACCGTCGGGATTCCAATCATGGGTGACGTTTGCATGCAAGTTTAGCATGAAATTCAAAGGAGCACGTTTTAGTGTCTTGTTTGCTTCGCTCTCCCGTTGACTATGTATTGCGTTTTTTGCAGAATTCCATTGTATATTAAGCTAATAGAAGTACACACTTTCATTAATGAGAAATTTGTAGGTAATCTCGTATGGCACTATAAAAGAATGAGAAGCACGTGATTGCTATATAAACTTTATGGTATGGTAAACTGTTTAGGCACTAATGTGTTCGATTCAAATTTTATCAGATCCGAGTCGTACAAGGGAGGACGCAGCAGACGAATCTAGTAAAAATCCCGTTGAGCTTTGCATAAGGACCAAGTGGAAAGGAGCTTTAGTGGATATTATAGAAGATTAGCCTCATAATGTTATTCAACCACTCGTCTTTAAGATTTAAATCTACAAGATTTCTATTACGGCTTCAACTCTACGGCTTCAACTCTACGGCTTCAACTCTACGGCTTCAACTCTACGGCTTCAACTCATCGTCAGCGAAATGAAACAACCTGATACATAGTTTCCCAGGGTGGCAAATACTGAACACTACAATGCACCGCACTCTGTGCTATATTTTTGGGTAAAAAAAAACAATGTAAATCACCGTGTACTAATGCGGATGGAAGAAATGTATTCAGTACTATTGTTGCTGGTCGTCAACGTCGGCCGAAAGAGCTATCAAACATTTGTTAATTTATGGAACGAGTTAATCTGGAATCTGCTTGGTAGTGGCAGCTACCAGTTATTTGCGTACGCTATTCTTCCTGAAGTCAGTCAGAGCTGACTAATGAAATCTGTAAGATAAACACTGACCACGTGTTCGTCACTTAATAACGGGAAAGTATATGTAATAAAGTTAGCAGATATGAAATGTTGGCTTAGACAAATCCGTTTGCTTCATCGAATAAGTTTAATTTATATTTTGAAGCATGGCTAAAACGGACGAAGTGCATTTACAAATTATGTAAGTACGTGTTTAAAACGTTGAATGTGTAATCCTGAGGTTGTTGCCGACAGGAAATCTTCCTTCTGTCATTACAATAGATAGAACAAGTAAATGATCATTTCATGGACTGTACCTAGAAATACATAATTAAAATGTGGTTAGCTTCGAGCTGAAAATCTGAGCTCAATCTGGATTTCAAAATATAATGAAGTGTGAGGAGAAGACTGGCGTAAACTCAAAAATAGGTTTATCACCTGTGACCACGATACCCAAATTCGAATGTTTCTGACTAGTAGTCAGATGACAAATCTGATTGAAAAATCTTTTGATAAGGCTTAACTAGACTTTTACGCATCAGCCCTATGACCGATGAATTCAAATGACTAAGCAATCTTGTCTAACTTGACGGCATTGCTTTCAACAATTAAAGCTCAGAATTTTTGTACTGTTTCTGTAGCCTGTTCCGCCACATCGATTTAACGACGTTAAAAAATGCCATTTAGATGTTGACCCAAGACACATCACTGAATGAGGTGACACACGCTGTCGGGTTCAAAAACAATAAAAGCATCTGTTTAGCGCTAAAAATCTATATTATGCTTTGAAAAAAAGTGCGTGATTTAATCGAAATATTATATGAATAATGGAAGATTGAATGTGATGCTTTGTTGCTTCTGATTTGCTAAAATGATTCTTAAAACAAAAACGCCCATTGAAAAATTTGCCTACTCATTTCTGGCGCTCATCATGGTTTATTATTAATAAACTTTGTATCCGTTCGGAAAATAACTGCTTGTTTATGTAAGGGTTGAACGTGATGCTTTGTTGCTTCTGATTTGCTATTACTCTACGAACATCGCTAGTCTTTTGCATGAAAGATGTTTATATATAAACAGTATATAAATATATATATAAAAGTTCTTCCATGCAAAAAACTAGCAAATGCTCGCAGACTAATAGCAAATCAGAAGCAGCAAAGCGTCACGTTCAACCCTTACATAAACAAGCCGTTATTTTCAGAACGGATACAAAGTTTCTTAATAAACCATGATGAGCACCAGAAGCGCGTAGGCAAATTTTTCAATGGGCGTTTTTGTTTTAAGAATACATTGAAAAGCTTAAAACCTTTTCAAGGTAATCTTACGTAATTGTAAACCTTAAACTCGCTCTACTAGCCTCTTTGTGTTACAAGCATCGTACTTATGGTTTTTGTCACTTGTAGATAGATGCAAACAATAGAACGTTCACTAAAATCAATCCCCACCACATCATTTGAAACAACGAGTATAGCTCAAAGGACAAAAAATGGCAATTTCTGTTGGCAGTGAAGTAAGCTTTACAAAAACATTAAAGTGATCAGGTTGCTGCCAGGATCAAAGTATCTAGAGAAAATTTAGTTCTACAAATACTGTGTTAGATGAACCGCTATATTCGGCGTGGCTAGATCTCTTTTAAAAAATTAAAGCTGGTTTTGTAACGTTGTCGTGGAAAGCCTGGAAGTCTACAAAACTGTATGCTTAATTTTAAAAATTTCACACAAAGTGACATACGAAACTGCAGTTGCTATATTAAATAAGCAATATATGATATATAAATTTATAATATGATGATATATATCATATAAGTTTAGTAAACATGGAGGTACTTTAATGTACTAAAACAGCTGCGAGAAGTGAAATCCCGCAAATATTCACTGTAATAAAAAAAAAAAAAAGATTTTTCAGATTTTTTTCTTAGTTTTTGTCATTAAAGTTAGTACGTTAAATATAGTAAAGATTGAGCTATTTTTCAGTTCAGCGTGTGCTATGGACATACGGTAGGACAGCTAATGAAATATACCGGCACTACGTATGCAGGTACCTGCGTTGCTATATTCAGAATCGCTACTCAGAAAGGTACGCAAAAGATAATCTGATTCAGATAAGGCCAAGCATTATTTTCCGCCTGCCATTGTCATCGGAGGACCCCCCTACACTGGAGAACTTTATGTGCGCAGTCATACCTGTTACATGTAGTTGTACAATATAGCTGTTCACTCGTATCTGATCGCATACAAACGTATCGTTACTACCTGATGTGACCCTCCTGCATGATTATGTGTACCCACAACATGATCGTAGTCTTAATCCATAACATCGCTTATCCTATAAGTCATCTGATATCGAATTAAGGTGAACTAGTAATTATCAAGATGTACGGAAAATCAACTTTCCAAAATGTCCTACCACCTGCTCCAAAAAGTTTTGCAGTCTTTGAATTGATTGATCAATAGAAACTACTCTCAGATATTTGACAAGCTTTCAGCACAAACAGGACAAGGAGTGCAGGTCTGTAGCAGAACGATTCTGTGAAGATGTGTGCTATAGTGGTAGATGAGCCCGACAAAGCTGTTCGGCAGTCGAAAAAACTGCCACAGATGAATCTTAACTACAATAACCTGGTAGCAATTCAAATAGACTTGAAGCTTATCATCAGTTCGACCGGACTTGCTAACAGCCAACTTGGCTAATAATCAGTCAGAGACTGCCGGGTCATGAAGATAAGCCAGGATGATTTAAAGGGCACTAAACGAATAGGGTTTTTGATGATTAGCAAAGTATTTGTATATATCAGTTATTTTCTATAGGAAAGGAGCGAGTATGAAATTTCTGGACAGCACAGATTTCTGAACCAAATAGACTTTTGCACTTGATAATTTTGCATAAAACATGTAGCAAGCCTAGCATGCTCTAGGCAGTGATCCAGTAACCAGCAAACAACTTTGACATTTCTCTATTACACGTTAAAAAGACCCTAACCGCTCATACTGAATAGGGAAGATTATCTGATCTTCCCGTTTCCTTTTTTCTTGAAATTTTGCAATATATATCCTGCAAATTAAAAAAGTTTCTCGTAAAGATAAATGAGGTGTAGGTAAATGGATATGGATCTAGCCAGTGCGATACTGATACGGTGCAAAACAAAAAATTGGAACGTAGCTCTTTCTCTCGCTAGCTATGCTGAGACGGTATGTGCAAAGTAGAGAAATCCATTTTTCTTGAAAAGTACTCCTACGAGAAATTTGATAGAGAACAATCAATATTGAGAAAAATAATACACGGAGGAATCGATTTAGTAGGAAAAAAAGATTTCACTCAGCCGATTCAATGAGCTTTACGCGGAACTCGATTCACACAGCTAAAAGTAATGCTGTCATCGACTACACCTTCACTATTGAGCCATTGATGTATCTCCTAATGTCAGATAAAGAGGTTCAAATCTTATAGGTAGGTTAGGTCGTTCACGATGAACGATTTTCTGAAATAAGGAATTGTTACAGCTATTTGGAGCTTAAGATAGTTTCAGTCGAAGTATGCACCATTATTATACATGACGCTTTGCAATTTAAATGATAATTTATTTATTCCACTGTTGTGGAAGTCTTGTGTACAGGAATGTTTCATGTCTCAAAAAGCAATTTACTGTTGAACTTGTTAACATTTGAATAATTTCCCTATTAGAAAGTGTCGAAGAAAGACTATAATTTGTGACATCGTTGCATGACGTGTGAGGTGGACGGCGAGGCCCGCAACTGGAACTCTTGTGGTTTTTCCGATGTGAGATCGAACGTTGTTATGCAATAGGGATCGTTACCTGTGTGCACTGATCCTGCTTGCTTATCATCATCATCTCTAATTGTTGACGATTCACTTAAATCGTAATCGATAAATCACGACCCACGGAGCGACACTGTACGACGGCTGCATTAGGCTGCCAAATGAGCGCCATCTGTTTTTTGCAGCACTATATTTCCTATTCAATTACAGTTACTTACTAATATGATCGTCTCCGATTATCGTAGAAGATGCATCTTCTATCTCCAGTTTGGAATTCAGGGCAACAACGGGTCACTCCGGTAACATGAAAGCAACAAGATGCAAGCATTTAAACGTTTCTGCCCTTGATGCTTACTAAAATCTTTTTTACCCTAGTCATTGAACCGAGGTAAAAAGGCATGACATTTTTACATAAAATTTAACCTTAGTGCCATAAATACCATCGTCGCGCTACCTATCTTGGCAAAGGGTCTTCTATGAGACTCACGTTCAGGTTGAAAACGTTCTGTTTTAAACAAGGGCTGATGCTGTTTTTAAAAGTAGGAACTTCCTTCAAATAAAGAAATAATAGAACGAACTATCACGTCGTTTTAGTCTTTAGAATCAACCTAGGTACGTAAAGTACTTGCAGTTTTCTATTCTTCATGGTTCGCATGCTAAAAGCCTTGGAGACGATATCCAAGCAAAAGATCCTCAAAGATTCCCGAAGAGTTCAGGTCTATCTCAAATACAAAGAACAGTGTCAGAAATGTTGCATTGTTATAAAATAGCGTTTCAAAATAAAGGATTATTGTTTGCCATATTTTATACTGAATATTATAGCTTCTTGCATGTCCACCTAATGATTTTTCCGAAAAACACATTTTCAATAGGCGTGGACCTACTATATTCTGCTAATATTCGCAGTGAAAAATTCAAAGAAAGCCATACTATTTCATCGATTAGCCGCTAGTGGATTATCGGTCCGTTTCCCCTTCATAAATCACATCCGAAACTTGTCCTTGATAAAGTGCGAAAATTGTTTTTATAAACTAACAGAGTCAGTGTGGGCACGTGTTTTCACAGTTTTCTAGCGCTCTATAATAATCATGGTCAGCATTAAGTACTCTCGAACAGCTCTACACTTTTACTAAACTTCTTCCAAAATACCTACAACGCATTTCACTAGAAGTGATAATCTGAAGATAAATTTTATACGAGAAACTATCACGAAAACCTACTTATTTAAGTTGTTATAATGCAGAATGACAAGCAACTTTTTTGGGTTTTGACCTGACAACATGACCTGACGTCTTGCTCTTGTAGGGCTTTACGACAAAATTGACGACCATTGCAATGAGCATCCTATTTAGAATATCATCCTGAGTAAACTTATAGGGGAACAAGGTTGTATGGGCAACTTTACGTCTTTCGTCAATTAAACACAAAAACAAACTTACAGGAACGCGAAAAGCGCACCGCACGTTTAGAAAGCCCCACTTCTTCTGTGTCTAGCGATACAATCTAGAAATTTTGTAACGATTTTTTAATGAAGACTTCAGTGGATGAGTATGTCTTACCATGGTATGAGACGCATACACCAGAGGAACAGCTAACGAAAATGTATATACATTTTCGTTAGCTGTTCGTCTGGTGTATATTCGTTGAGAAAAGCATAAAAATATCCATCAATAAACAAAATACATATAATTATTAAACCCGAACAACCAAACGAACTGATGGAAATCGATTCGTAAAACAATTCCCACCGACGCGAGTAGTATAACGAAAGGAGGGTATACTCGAAGCGCTGGACAAATACAACACGTGCAAGAATTCATTTTGCAGCTTCTTCGCTTGTATGGGTAAACTTAAATAATATCTTCTAAAGAAACCTGTATAAATCTACCGATGAGAAAACGAACAATGAAGAAACAGGCGATGTTGGTCACCGACGTATCAGGAACTGTAAAAGTTAACGAAGTGTAAAAACTAATTATGAAATTCCCATACGCAAGTGCTTTTTCTATACCAAAATAAAACAATGAATGATCTATTTCCCATTTGAATAGTTGATATAACATATTTGAGACGCGCGACCCTTTCAGGAAGTTAATCGGAAGCAATTAACATTGGGCACGCATCCAAATGGATGACCTGTTCGAAATAGGTTGGGTCAAAACGCACTGACTCAAGCTGAATGTCAAGTGCGACACCTTGAGGAAGAACAGGCAGTTCGAAATGGAGAACTGAGCGGTCTTCATTTACGGTTCAGCTGCTAAAGCTGTAAACATATGGAAGCGTAATTTTTATAGATGGCCAAAATCGACTTGATCGACCTGTAACACGTATTTATTCACAGATAGAGCATACCGATCTTTTAAGCAAGATAAAAGCAAATAAAGGAGGCAAATAAATAAGTAATAATAACACTATGACAATTTAGTATTATTATGGCCTACCGGTAAGTGAAATTGCGACCATGGTAAAGATAACATAAAGGTAATTTATTCAATTACAATCCATTTTGAAATTAATAACCTTAGGATCTCTCTGTACATGGAAAGGAGGTCTACGGACCCACAAAGGGTATTCTCAGCGAATCTCGTTTTCTTCGGGATTTATGCAAATACAAAGTACACGTATTAAAGACTCTAGATTTGATTGCTTTGTTGACGTGCACGTAGTCCTGTACATCTTATCGATTATCAGACAACAGCATGTTCTGCTTCACGCAAATCTTGCAAGAGTTGGCAGTACTAGTCAATCTTAAAGCTAGTTAATCTTTAACGTCAACGTTCCAAGGTTCATTGTAGTTCTGTGTAAGGACAAAGTGACATATGTCCACACGAATGTATTCCCAACTCACCAGTGTACATCTCACACAAAAACTTACTTAAAGATGTACTTCCTTGAGGAGAGTATACTTACAAACTGATGCAGTTTTGCTACCTGTTGTGCAAACCAGATGTTGCTATGTGGACATAAAAAAAAAAAAAAAAAAAAGCAGCAGACTTTGATGGGTTACTAATATCCAACAAATCCAGTGATTTATTGCAGCAATGGACATTATTAACAGGTAAGGTATGACGAATTTGTTGGTGGAGAAGGTTAGCAGAAAACATTTTCATGAGACATTCATTAATAGCAGTCACCGTGTACAGTTCTTTTTTTTCATTTAGTGTCGTTACATATATTTGGGTTATGAGCATGAATGACTTTAGATATGAGGCTATAAAGCAACTGCTTGTGATAAGATAGAAATAGAAATATATTCCAGTGTGCGATCATTTGAGACCAATTGAATTTTAGAACTATTTTGAACATGCCTTTAAGTTGGCGCCACTTGCATAAAACCACGGCCAGTCTTCCGTTTAAATGAATTTAAATTTTGGCAGACTGCATGAATTTAGTATTCTCGTTACCAGAGGAAAACTATTTCCTTTTAAAACAAGGCAACATATTTGTTACGCCAGAAAACAGGTTGGTTAAAAATCAGTTACTATTACTATAACTGAAGACTTCTTTTGTTCAAAACCGATTCTTTATGTCCTTGATTTTTTATGTACCTGAGCTGTTTGCAAAATTCGAAAAGCATATCCATTAAACGAACCGAAATAGCTATATAAGGCTCATATTTAAGAGATTTAAAGAATCATCAAAAATTTTTGATGCACCTGAATCTTTCAATAACGGCGGATTTGGTAACAGAATATTCATTGCTAATTTGATAGTCCAGATGAACGGTTAGTCTCCTCAAAATGTTTTGCACTTTTGTCCTCTCGGGCCTTTTTGTCTGCTGTTAGCGAAAACTTTTAATACTGCCGAAATTTTTATCTGTTGCCTATCTGATCGACACTTTACGTCTACTAATTGGTAATTGATAGTGCTCGACGCACGGCTACTATTAAAAAGTTATTCGCGGATTGAATAAGGAATACTTTGAAAATTACTAGTTAACGTTTGATGTCCCGAATTACAGCTCTGAATGGTGGTTATATTGAATAAACGTGACCGTCAGGAACTACACTTTGAGCGCATACAAAAGAAATTCGTTGAAGTATCTTTTTTTTTGTTCAGATACAGCCTTAGAAACAACTCGCACGAGAAGGCCCTGATTTATACGGAGTACCTTTTATATAATGTTAAAACGGGCTAATTAACGAACATTCATTTACATTTACATTTACATCTGCGTTTTAATGTCTGATAAAGAGTGAACGAATTGATCCGTCGACTCATGCCTGACAGATATTAATTTCGGGCGAAATTGTTTGAACATCGAGCCTTAAATCCACTTTAACCTAGCGTTAATCGTTTTGTCAAAGGAGGTCAAATAAACACATAATAGAGACTGTTTGCTGGCTGAATCAACGAAACTTCTGCGCTTAAATTGACGAGTCCCGAAAAGAATTACCGTCATTGATGAATTAACAGTGCGACTAGTAGATTCAGCCAAGCAAACCATGATTAAGAAGTGTAAATATGTTCGTTTGTGCACGTACTTTAGAAAACATCAACAAAAGAAATGGACACAGCTTTGAACTACCCGAGGCAGAGCAAAGCTATAATTACGAGAAGGTTCATTTTTTAATTGTAACTTACGAAAGCATTTGATATAAGGAAATATTCTCAATTTATTTCATATATTATAAGTAAAATTTATAACGTAAAGCATTTATCTAATACCTTTTAAAATGATTGAGATCGTCACGAGATATTTTGGGTTACAACGTCTTGATTATCATAATAGTTTCCATTAACCCTAGTTGAGCTCAAAGAAATATTACACCGAAATGAAGTAGGTAACGGAAAAACCGTTGTGTTAGCTATAGCTTAAAAAGCTAAAAAAAAAAATAATAAAAAAAAAAACATTAAAAAATGTGTTTTTTAATAGCTTACAATATCTTCCTACACTTTAGTGTTTAGTGAGCTTGTTCAGAACAGGAATAGAATGCGTAAATGAAATAAATACAATTATTACCTACTTATTATTGTTAGCGAGATTATTTCGTGGACGTTAAGATAATTTCTTGTAAAACTGAGGCAGATCTAACATCCGATATAGAACGAGGGAGCCTCAAATGAGGCGGCTGTAGCCTTCCTTTACGCTAAGAATGCATCCATTCGCGATTGGCAAACTTGGCAAACCAAAACAAAGGTGCGCGATGAGTTGTGATGATAAACTCCAAGTCTTCCTCATAGTCGCTTTCAAGGCGATCGATGATCCCTGAAGAGAACGTATAATGGCTGAAAAGAAAAACCAGAGTGATCACTGTTAGTGCAGTGCGTCGTGTATATCTTACTATTATTGTTCGATTGTCATCAGAAAATGAAACTTTGTTTTATTTGTTGCTTCAACAATGTAGTTGATATTGTATAGCCGTATTCCGTAACTAAACCAAAAACATTCTTATCAATGACGTATCCTATCTATTCTACTTTAAGTTCTATCTGATTAATGTTCAAGTCCTAAAATATTTCTGGAAGAGTTTGCCGTATTATTTGGAACAGTACTATCGGCTGGATTCGACAGCATTTCTATAAGAGGCTTCTAGAGGTATTAAAGGTGTCAGGTCACTTTTATTATTCATTCAAAAGGTACCTATATCGTAGCCAAGATCTTATCATGTTATTGTTTATTACTATTACGGATTCTAACAGATTTTTTTGCCGAATTCTATTGTAAGCCCTTTGTTGCCAGTTCATGAAATAGCGTAAAACCATAATGTAGCCTGACCCTCGACAGTGTACAGCCATTTCTTAAATACTTGCGAAATAGCTGTACATACATGCGTCTTGAAAATTCGTAGAGCAACAGTATTATCCCTGATCATTTCTACGAAAATATTAATAATATTATGTTCGCCTTTGCAAAAGGATCATCCAGTTCCGTAAAGCCTCGTTGCCTGCAGCACTTCTGGAAAAATTCTCAGTTGACAGGTGTGGAAATTTTTCGAAATTAGCGGTGTCTTCGACCATAATTAACGGCATCACTTATTAGTTCCTTTAAAACGTATCACTATGGGTGCATTGACTAGAAAAACGGATAGGTATTCTAATATATAAACTAAAGAAATTGGACACTCGTACAGTAAGTTGACTTAGTACATTCACCTGATCATATCTATATACTTGTATCTGTGTGCGCAAATCACAATTGCTTTATGGAAAAGCTTACGCGGAGCACCGGTCTGTAAATCTTTCATGATAAACAAGTTTAAATGATAGGAACCGCTCAGAAGAGCTTGTTTAGAAGACTGCTGTAGCAGTGAGTCTAAAGCACTTCTTGTAATAGCTACCAGAATGTTGAACTATATAAGCTTTCATTTAATTCCAGGTGATAATGTAGCATGTATTCAATAGAGAAACAATATTTTTCCTCGGCGAAGAAAATGGTTCTATGTCAATTTTTATCATTGATACTTAAATAATAATGCATACTCTGTTATTAATATTTATCGCTATATATATATATATATATATATATATATATATATATATATATACATACATACATATACCTGTCATATAATTAGCAGCAATTTTCTAAATTGTTTGTTTCTTTTAGTCTTAGGCGATAATAAAGAACCAAGTATATTTATTTAGAATCGAAATTGTGCGGCTCTAGCATGGTTAGCTGAGATGTGGTCCCTGAATGTAGAGCATGAGCACCGGCTGGTTGAAGTTTGTTTTGCGTGCACAACTTTAATTGATGAAGAGAGAGTAGTTATTACGGAACTGAAGAAATAATTTTCTCGTAGATTTGAATAAACCAATGCTACTTCTAGTTTCGATGTTTTTGTTGCAATTTCAGATGATGCCGGAACACGAGCGTCATTTAACGTTTTTTCTTACGGTAACATTTGCCTTCGTCGGCTTCCTCATCAAGGGTTTCATGTACTACCAAACCCTACAGGAAGCTGAAAAGGGTAGTGGAATGCCCATCGTTGTCGTCGCCATTCTATCTGAGAGGTGAGCCCCCAAAATATAGTGTCTCTTAACCACTATTGGTCTAGGTAATAGCTGAATTGTCTTCCATCGGAAGGCTTCAACCTATTTCGTCTTTTTTTTTTTTTGTTACTATTAGTACTTATATTGTTTTTATGTAAAAATCAAATTGGTTTTATCTCATTGCAGATCACATTTGGAACGACGAAAGGCAATACGCGAGACATGGCTAGCCGATAAGGGCAACGTAAAGGCATACTTTATCTTGGCCAGTAAATCATGTAACATTCATCCACGAGACCGTTTGAATGATCTTTCATGTGAGTTCTTCTATCCCAATATTACGGCTGGCTGTTTGCACATGGTAGAACACACGGCGTGTGCCAGCGGAGCGGAGGGCCCGACTCGAATTGCGATTGGCTTTAGTTTTCGACTCCGATACCCAGTCACGTTGACAAAACTTGGAGCGCTTATCCACCTTCAAAATGTAAGGGTGCACTTAATTGATGCCGTCACTAAGCAAGTCTTATCCGAAGCGGTGGTCAGTGATCAAGATGAAGAGATCGGCGGATACCGTTACAGTGCCATCGATCCGATAAAATTCTCAAAGAACTTTGAGGGTATTCTCATGGTTACCGGTAACATTAGCACGAGTTGCGGTGCTTCGACGTTTCAGCAATCGGATTCGATCGAATTTCAGAGAGTTTACTACGATCATGTTGATGAGCACAGCCTTCCTTGGAGACTCGATATGACGACTCTATCAGCTGTAAGCGCTGAAATAGCTCTTGAAGGGGATCCTGAACTTTCTACCCTTAATGTCCTTCAACGCCGAAGACATTGGCTCAAGTATATCGATTTGCTCGATCAGATGATTATTAGTGAAATGAATAAATACAAAGACATTGTCACTGTTGATGTCGTTGAAACTTATCGCAATCTGCCACGTAAAATGAGTGAGACATTCGCCCACTTCAGTAAGCAGTCGTTAACTTTTTTAGTGAAAGCGGATGACGACGTCGTTTTAGACTTGCCTCGCCTCAAGCATATTCTTACGACATCGCTGATCACAAATCGCGTAGTCTGGGCTAAGACTCGGCGCGCATTTCCGATTTCGTTATATGGAAAATGGGCGGAGAACGTTGCCTTTCCTTCGCAAGTTTATCCGGACTTTCCGTGTGGTGCGACATACGTACTCTCCAAAGATCTAGTGCAATTTATTGCCAAGAATAAGGGCTCTTTGCACCATTTTCAAGGCGAAGATGTGTCCGTCGGAACATGGCTTCTGGGCTTAGCACCGCAATATCTCGGTGAAGGGCTATTCTCGTGCGGCATTCAAGACTGTGGTGGAAATGTCCTTAATAGGGCTGAAGTAGATAGTCCGGAGGAAACACGACGAATTTGGAATGTCTATATGCAGAATAAGACCCTTTGTGATCTGTGAGTGGTACGTTTTTGATACACATCTAGTCATCCTCAATTGTCTTGTATATTAGTGGCATACTTTTAGTTTCTTTTGTACAAATAAAATTGTTGTGTTTTTGAAAAATCGTTGTTGTGGCTAACCGATATATGTGTGTGTACGACAGTCATTTACAAAGCAAGCATATGTTCTGGCGTCGCATGTAAATCAACGTATCCCAACTGAGGTAAAATTAGCGCTTTCTATAATCTGAGATGACCACAAAAGAAAAATGGCTCTAATTTAAATAAGCTCGAGGGTCCCGTTGGCATTCAACTATGTGGCAATTATTTGGGTATCGATCCGATAGTGAAAAGTTGTTCTTCGAAACAAATAACTTTAAAATGTAGATAAAAAAAAACAAAAAAAAAAGAGTAACCTCGCATGCCATATAATGAATGATATTTGGAAAATCTGAACAAATCGTGTGCTTTGGATGTTCTACAGCATCTGAACCCTCGTCCCGTTTTGAGTAAGCAAAAAGTAAAAATCGATTTTCTAGTAAAATCAATATTTGGATAACTTGGAACCTACATTTACGAACAAACTCTGCATTTCGAAGCTTATTTGACTGACCTCTATGCTCTTTGAATTCTTAAGGTCGGCAAAATTTTGCCATTAAGTCAAGTTGTAGTTCAGTGAACATTATGATTGCATTTACGTCCAGGTTTGGCACTTGTCCACGTTTTCATGAACAAATGCGTTGCGAAAATGCGCTTTCGCTACAAAAAGGGTAATCATTGATCACAACAAAACAAGCAGGGATTATTAAATTTATTGGTACAATTAGAACGCATGTTTATTGACAATAAAAGAAGACACAATTAATTATACAATGATTTACACGTTGGGCCTTGACGTTAGCATTCCATTCCACATTCATTAGAATAGAATATCACATCTATACTTTCTACATTATCACATTACAACCTTATGTACTTTTCATGTAAAATCTGCAGGAAAAAAATTTTGCGTATCAGCTAAAAAAATTTGGTAAGACTTAGTCCATGAGATAAGAGTAATAGAGTCGTTTTTATGTATTGGACAACTGTTGTACTTTGGAAAAAATATATTCTAGACGTATCTGCGGAACTAATTTACATATCTGTTTATATTATTTGACTCAATTATGTGACCAGTCACTTTCTGCATTTATGGTATCGAGTACAAAGTTAACCTTGTCTGAAAAACCCAAGCATTTATTAGGTATGCAGGCTCTCACTTTCATGTTTGTTTATCATATATTATTTGGTCTGTAGTGCATTACAGAGGTGCATTACAACCTAGGAAAATTGATGGTAAATGGTCTGTCAATAAATAATTTTCCAATGACCACAGATTTTAACCGTAAAAAAAGAAATGAATTCGTCTTTTATAATATATGTAGGAAAATCCTAGCGACCAATTACCAATGCTAACGATATATAATGTGTTGCATGTAGCATAGAAACTACATTTATGGATGAAATGGACTGATTCCAATGAAATTAGTGGTTTCGCAAAGCTTTTTATGTATATACACGGTTTTATCGTATCGTATCTTATCTCACTTTTTCTTAATTGTAACTGCCAAGACTATCAAGGTTCTTTCACACATGGTAACAGGTGCTATAATAAATATCTAGTATAACATCATAATAGTAAGCGATATCACAACCTGCAACTTCTAGAAGTTTTAAACGACCAGTGGGTCACTCAGAAATTATCATAATCAGCAATGCCATAGATATGTTTAATGGAAGCACTTAATATTCAAAACTTTATTTAAGATTCATGAAGAGTAAAACCAGTTAATAAGAACCATATATCGTATATATTTTTTTATTTATTAATGTGGAAAAGCACATGTCAAAAGCTGCTTCCCCTCTGGGTCGAAATAACGCAAGAAAGAATGGAAAATTCCCGTAGGAGACTAATATAAGGTTGCTATAGGAAAATATTATTTAATCTTTGTTGAAAATCAAGTGGGAAGAGCGTGACTGGGTAATATCGTAGATTATCGGAAGACCCTGACGCATTCTCTGGGAGACAAATATTCTCTCTTTTCCCACATGCCACAAAATCACTGTGTTTACCTTCAGATGACGGAAGTCATTATTTAAAACTGATAGAGCTTTAGGCAAGCCGTCGCAGCAACCTTTGCATACACTCGCAAGTACCTAAAGGATTCCACACTTCGATTTAGCAACCCGAAAACTGTAGACATTTTGTGCCGATAAAGTGTTGTAGTTGCGACCAAATCCCACTAGGCGCTAAGCCATCAGCAGCTTGTTTGGTTAAAAACGGCGTTCGAACGAGAAGGTTTGCCTGCATAGCACAACAAACTTATATGTTACAAATCAAGCATGACACGTCTTAAGCGTTCCACCCTATTTGGTAGGTAAATATGCCCAACAAGTTAGCTTGTATTCTACTAGATTCCATGAGCGCGGCTTTCCTGAGAATCAACAATATAATAATCGACTGGCGATTTTATAAAGCCGTCATTATCGCGCAATCGCCAATGCCACGATATTGATGGCAGTTTTGGTAGAAATGCGCGCGTTTTTATGGTTCGGACCGCCTGATGAAGAATGATGGTCCTGGTCGTTGTGGTTGTTGTTGAGCAAAGAATGATCTGAAAAGTCAGGTGAGGATATAGCTTTCCAGCGTCTTCCAGATCCAGATGAGCCTTGTACCATATCAAACAATGTATTTATGAAGCGGGTCACCTCTTTGCTTGTGCCATCTCGCATTTTCGGCCATTTCGTATGCCTGTGGAATAATCATAGAAGAGGCTAAAGCATTATTCCGAAACTCCTCAAATAATTAGAAAGAGTAGTGTAGATATAGGCAGTGTGAATCGTATTATCACTAGCTGCTGGGGCTCATGCTGGTTACATACGAACAAGTTGTGTCTCGATATAGATAGCACACGGATTTATCAATATAAGTTATAATCGATGTGTTAGAACTGAACCAACCTTGGCATTAGAGATCCTTTGCAAGCCATTTTTTGGTGCGTCAATACACCGCATAGCCTTTGGACTAGACATTCGTGGATATCAGGATCGACATCAAGCTTTGCGAGAAAACGCACTAAATATTCGGTCGTCATGCGTATGCCCTATGTTTTCGGGAACACTCATTAGTTAATAGAAGCATTTGACCGTAGAGACACTGACGTGCCTCTAAAATCAAGTTAGTATCATTACGAGCCATCATGAGTCGTCAACTCAAGCCTGGTTTGCCTCGTTACTGCATTATTTCTGTGTTGTATCTTAGGTTTACTTATTGTTACTCTAACCTGTGACGGGGTCATCAAAGCGCAACCGTGCGGTTCGGTTGTGCGTAGATACGTAAAATGAGCTTCTAAATGCAAATAATAAGAAAATATGAAAAAAAAAAAGTGACATTTGTGCCACAGGGTTCATTCGATCAAAACACCAACATTCCACTGCAAAGCTTAGTTTTCAGATCATATAGAAATGTAGAAGATACCTAATGCTAGTCTACTATAAAAAACAAGCTGATTAAATTGGAGCTTGTTTGGCTGATCGTCTACGGTTTTACGAATGTATTCAGTCGAAACTAAATTGCTAGGGAAACTAAATTCGTTTCAGGCACGATGTAAGCAAACTTGCAGCCATGATAAAAAAACAACAGTGTGTCGGTTCGCGTTGGATCCCCACAGATATCACAGCATTCATGGGTTGCTCTAAATCGAGCATGTGAAAGCAGAAGCGGGTTCCGTCACAGCTTAACGGAAAATTCAAGGCATAAAAAAGTGCGGACTTCGGAGTTGATCGATGTCGCCTAAAAATGCATTTCTGATGATCATGGATAGCTGGCTCACACATTTCATGAGAGTGGGGTCACCACGTTAGAGATTCAAACCATGTCACGGAGACCCTAGGCACGTGTCACAAATGTTAGACAGATTCTCTCTAAGACCAACTGAAACAAGATATTTGACAGGTGCCATTTGCATCTTAATTATATGAAAAATGAAGTATTAAGTGATTCTCTACCGAGAAGGTTTTTATTCTAAATCCATGAAACTGATCGCTGGCTTACGTACAACGTAAATGATATATGTATTATGGGTAAAAACAATTTTCCCACTAATTAATTACATAGGACGTCATCTTCTTTGTAGGCTTTACGCGCTGCAGTGAAACAATAGATAGCTAAAGTGTTTGTACGAAGCATTTGTCTGTCAGAGAGCTGGTCGTTAGAATCGGATTCGCCGCGTAAGTATATGAGTATGTGCCGGAATGAATGCACATAACCGCTGTATGACTCTGGTTCGAATCCGCTGAGTTGCCGCGTATGCTGCATTAATGGGCATGAGTCCAGTAAGATTCGACGCGACAGCGCCGAGTGGCCCATTTGTGCTATGTTTGCACAGTTGCAAAGGAAACATTCGAAATGTGTCTCTGAGCGGTTTAGGCCTGGAATCAAAGTTGTACTCGGTGGTTCATGATTACATTGAACAAATATGACTGTAGGAAATGACACTTCGACCTTTTTTTTGCAGAAGATTTCGTTGAAGCATCTCTTTTTTTTTACTACTGTTTTTGCTGCTGTTTTAGGAATAAGGTGTGAGCAGAAGTCTAAACATAATCCGGCCACTCTATAGATGGATTAAATCTAATATTAGCACGCAACTTTTCGATTCTTTTTAACTCGCTTCTGCTTTCATTTCAAGTCTTAAAAGGAAAGCTCTTTTTCTATGCTTTTCAACAATTTATCGTTTACTTGTTACACAAGAAATACGGCTATTTATTATTTGCATCATGTTACCTAGGCTACGTAAGGGAAAAGTTATTTCGAGTTGTATTTGCACTTGAGCGCTGTGGAGGATATACTCGGCAAAATGCCTGTATTTTTTTTTACGCAAATCGGCAAGCCGAAATTATTTGTCCATTTGATTTGTACGTCGTCCCGGAAGTCATAGAAACAATTTCATAGGCGTTCGAGTTAGACGAGACTCATTTGGCCTTTGCAGCCGATCTTCGAACGGGTACGATGAAAAAAAGGAATACGATAACATATATTATCGTTAATGTAAGACTTGTTCCTGTTGTTGTTGTTTTAAATATAAATTCCACCAATCAACAGATATTTAAACCCTAAGCTCACTACGTTGTTTTACCTTATCTCTAAAATTAATTTGTCTGCAGATACCTAAATTTTCATTGTTACATCATTGTATTGGCCTGAGAATTCGTAGCTCACTTGCATTCTTTACAACTCTGCCCGTGCTTAAACAACGGGAAACACTTTTGTATTGCATATAGGCATATCTAATATTTTCGTGTTCTATTTCTAAATCTGTTCGGTTTCGGCGAAAAAGCCTTTGTTTTTCATGCTCCAAACAAAAATGCCATAATGACTTCCACAAGTTAAAAATTTAAGTTCCAAGTACATTGGAAATGCTGAAATTCTTTGTACATCTACGGACTTCAATACTGTGGAAATCATTATCATACAGCAAGTTGAGAGACAAATGACTAAAAGGTAAAACAAAATAGAAATACGAAAAAATAGATAGAGCTATCTGTAAGTATTCACTATTGTGTTTATTGCCATGAATGCGCACTCATTTCAAATGGAAAAGTCAAAACTACCATGAAGAGGTAATAACAGTAAGAATGTATGTATTACTTAAAATATGCTATTTTCTTTTTTGCTGCTTCTTATGCATCCGTTTCGGGATAAGAAATAGATGAAGAAAACACTTCCTAATAATAGCTTCGTTTAGCCAATTTCTATAGACATTATTAACACAATCAAAGAAGAGTTACCTTGGGAAATGTTTGAAGAACAGAAGCAGGCTGCTGAGGTTTTAGGACTATTTGCGTGAGCTCAGCTGGGGACAGCACCGGGTCGCTTAAACCGGATTCGAGAAATGCCCACAAAAGTGCCGCGACGACGCATGGGTTGGGTTCATTTTTCAATCGTTCCCACGCACCTACAGTGCACCACCATTACCAAATATGAGTACACAATATAAAATACGATCCTTAAGTTAGTTTAGGCTGAGCAAGTATTATTGCAACAGCTAGTTTCACAAAAAGCACTTTCTACACATTTGAGTCCATTTTGTAAACTTTCGTGTTAAAAAGTACTCTCGTTGGCCGCTACAAGCTTTGTAATACGAAGTTTCATGTAATACATGAAGAGATATTGATATGTAAAATAGGGTGTATAATTAATTATACGGATGCTTCACAACCACGTTTGCTATATATATATATAAGAGTGTATATAAGCAAGATAGAAAGGGACGTATGTTCTTTCGGCCTCTTTCATGTAAGTTAAGGATACAGCACACTATTAAATCAATTTATCAACTATTGAATCACATAGAATGTATGTGTGTATAAATTAATAAGTTAGTAAGAAAAAATTTTTAAGGAAAGTGATGCAATGTGTAAAAGCCATATATTAAGTTCAGGGTTACAAGCTAGAAGATTAGCCGTGCACGCAAAACCTAATAGTCGCCAAGAAATTAACGGTCGTTGAACATTGCCGTCTTGTACCAGCTTTGCCGAAAGGAAACACTTTAAAATAAAGTCACAATTTTATTATTAGGTGGGGCAAATTCGTATCACTTAGTTGCACATATGATTCGTGTGTTTCCATCTACGTGCCTGCATCTTCGTTGAGAGCCCGCTTGTATTTTCGGATGAAGACCCAGAAGGACGGCTGAAGATCGCTGTATTGAAAAAGCATGCATTTGGCAACGATCCTCGAACACTGGCGAGCGTTTGAGTTGGCCCCAGATCCGGCATCGCCATGTCCGTTAAAAAAAGGAGTCTCGCTGCCCGCGCCATCGTGTTGACCCTCATCATCGTCAGCATCATTTTGGTTATAGTTACGTAGGTCTTTGTTGGCCTGAAGAAGAGCTTCATTCAGTGAATGCCTTAACTCAACTACTTCAGGTGCGTCGCTTTCGTTCTGGCTGTGTTCGTGGTTATTGTGCGCTTCTTCGAAAGGAGAGGGTGCAACTTTAGTGGAAGGGCCTACAAAGGGCAGATGCAGACAAGAACGGCCTATATTTGCGCAGCTACTGGAGCTGGCTGCCACCTGCGTTGCACGTACTGCCTTCGAAGTCATAAGCTGTCGGTAAATAACATTTTTTTCAAGAAGACTTTGCCGCTCGCGGCTTGCTTCTACACCTGCATACAAACACGTGTCATATCATTACCTTCTAGGCCGTTGTATTGTATACTTGCATTGCTATAATGGTATAACATAATGACTCATAATAACTACCGATCGACTGTGATTAGTAATCCTGTCTGTTTATCGTTGAGCGCTTCTAATGCCTCATACCGTGTTGTTTACTACCCGCGTGGCATGAAAGCTAATTGAGCCTGAAAGACTCGGCGACATGGTTTAGAGTTTATAGAGCTCTTAGATAATAATTGTGTTCTAGGCATACTAACAGACCCCATGTGTTGCAATGAGATGCATTGCCTTCATAGTATCATTATATCTTAATAATATCTAAAGACTAAGGAAGCAGCCCTCGGAGTCGTTTTTGTGATACTGATTAATAAAAAGCAATAGTTGCTGTAAATGCACTGGCGGATTTTAGAAGGTGATTAGAGTTATGGATATGTAGATAATGCTGCTTCTGTCAGAAAACGCATGTAATATTATTCCTTACGTGCGTGGTATTCTGTGCATTGACTCTCATATATCCAAATAAATATATGTAACACATCAACTTAGCTAAACACGCAAGCACGTAATTTACAGCAAACAAGGGGAGAAAGGTATAAGAGATAGCCAAGATACTGAAAACATATTTCCATATCACAAATATACATAATATGCATACGTAACACGCTATTCAGTTGCTTAAGCTTGGAAAAAAGTTCTCCTTCTCTGATGTGGATCGATTCCACCCTAGAATGTTCTGTGATCGAACATGCATCAAGATTGTGTACAGGAGGTTCATGTATGGTCGTGGTCTTTGAGCTTCCGAGAATTTGAATTCCGAGTTTTTATTAATCTAAATTAGGCGTATTTTCTCCAACGGTTTCCATGGCGATTGCCTTAATACGATACTAAGCTATTAGTTCATAATGGATTCAATACTTTCGCTCCTCTCAGCTTCAAAGTAGCTGCCGCGCCCAATGTACTACGGAGAAGCTTGGTTGTAATCTGCTGAGGCTTTTCCGTGAGGTTTTTTAATCTATTCCCGAACGGCAGTTGTACGCCGCATCAGAACAAATATAAAGAAGAGAAAACTGGTACTCTACAATGTTCTACAACCTAGTTTATTATGAAACGGTAGGTGATAATAATATTACCAAGTTGTTAGGAAGTACTGGTCTATATTGTGAGTAGTTTGAACTAGCCATATACGCATAATAAATTGGTTGGTATGCTTGTTTTACACTGGTGTTATTATTCCTCTCATTTTGGATTCTTTCTTCTTATTATGGATTCAGAATCTTTATAAGCGATCATCTACTTACTATTCGAATAAACTTCCTCGTCGCTCACATCGGAATCATCCGAAGATTCGAGATTCGAGTACAGACCTGCTGATTCGAGCAGACCTTTCAAACCTGAGACCATCATCTCATCTGAATTTTAATCAATCAGAATCTGTTAGAAATTACAGAGTGAATTCTAAATTAGACATTTCTGATACTAACAATGGTGACATGTCAGGGTAGTTATTTTCCAGAACAGGACAATCATCACCATCGCCATGCACATGAATTAAATCCAGTTGTGATCAACCAAATTTTACTAAACTACACGTGGTACATATATATATATATATATATATATATATATATATATATATATATATATATATATATATAGAAGAATACTGGCCTTCTGTGTTTTGCTGTTGGCTGGCGGCTGATGATGGCGCTGACGTCGAAGTCGGAGTCGTAGCAGGTTTCCACACAGTGTCATCGTAAGTCGCGCCTATGAAGTCTTGATAGAACGCCGTCAAGTTGTTCAACTAGGAGATGATCATAAGAGGCGCTAAATATTGCTAGTGTGAAGACACCGAAACGCAAAGCTTTACAAGTACAAACACGTGCTGTATACAATATAGGTTAGCAATCATAGATCAAGCAACCCTTCATTCGCAATCAACAGAAACGTTCAACTCTGAACAACGTTACCGTAATGCGCAATGCAGCATTACTGAATGAAAATACTTAAAAAATTTTAAGTTAAACTTCGACTTTAGTTGCTGGTTTATTTAATCACGGTAGCGAAGAAACGACTAATGGTGCATTTTATTTAGTACTTCTTTTATTTATATATTTATACTTTATTTAGTACCAATATTGGAATCAGAAGTACTAGAATGCATATTTTATTATTTCCTTTAAAATTAATTCTGATGGTTACTTGAATTGGTTTGGAAGTGCTTAAGAACGATGGTTTTCGCTTTATTTACTTGCAGCTTTGGCACCCTATGTATATAGCGATCGTGCCTTAACAAGCTTGTGTTGTGTATATACGGATAACTGCGCAAATAAAAACTATATTCTTTCCCATGAAAGGACTACAACAATTGTTAAGTCATCTTTAAAACTCAATTCAAGAACCAATAAGTCAACATACAAGCTGACCTTGGAATCAGCGAAAACAATGAGAAATTGATAAAAAAAAAACCATTGTCGAACCCAAAAGATATGAGTGAGCAGCTACCGATGTTAGCCGCGGTCACGAACACAATACATTCTGGTCAATAGCAAGCCGATGCTCAAGCGGAACTGCAAGATTTTAGGGGCGAAAACGTAAGTAGCAAAATGCAATGGATAATGCCACAGAGAAGACATCTCTCTTGTCTTGGCCGAACGATGGATAATCTGGTTCCATCAAAAGCTATTGATTCGACGACAACAAACCGGCCGACCTAAGCCTACCTAGCCAAAGCGTACATAATATACAACATGCACAGATAATGGATTACCATCGTAATCATAAATTTTCCTGAAGTTATTCGTAACAGAGAGCACACAAAACCCTCAAACCGTTCACTATGCCTTTCAAATCCTTGCCATATATACGACTAGTATCTATTTAAGATTAGGTTAGGCATATTATGGTGCTTTGCCGTCCTATGACTGCTGTATACACAGCCGACTATACAATATACGGAAGCCAATTTAAGAAGCCACAGTAAATTTAATATTAGGGCTAACTTAGGTACCACCAAAAAGAGTCGGTGGTACCGCACGGTACGACATTCATGAAGTCATGTGTACTTGTGAGTCCCTGAAAAAATTCCGTTTAGCGTCATGCTACGTACTATGCGAAGTTCAGAACGGTAAGATGCTAAAGGCACGTACAAAAGAATTAAGAGCGATTTCACAGTGGCATGTAGAAACGTACTCCGTTTGCATGGTTTGCCCAGGAACCTGTCCAGAAACATTAGTCATGGCTTGCAGCATTTTTCAAAGCGACAAATTTTATTTACTTACACGCGCTTGTCTACAATTTTTGGCAGAAGGTTTAGCATATTTGTCGAAAACGTCACTTATCGTCGTCCGCTGATATCTGTTCAAAGCTTTCTGGCCCATCGGCTTTTCGACGTTGTGCTGTTCCGTATAAAGTATCGTCAAATTGGTTTAATTTCAGGGCTCCGTTGGATTGTTCTACTATTGATGGACTACTGCTGTGACGCGGGCAGCGCCTCTATTGACGGATGTGACCAAGTCGACGTCATCTATACGTTTTACTATTTATTCATAGAAATGGATAAACAACTCGATTACAGTTACCGCAAATACATTCAGGAATGTCTTCCTCCGCCGGCATAACAACCTATCTTTCGCTATGTCAATAGCTCATGCAATGTAATTAGGTCTTTGGTTTCCTTCTCGTTGGGATTGACAGCGTAAATTGTTATTTTAGCCGAGTGCACAAAAGCCAATTGGTAAAGCTTCGGTGCACTTTTCGATCTGAGTGCATCAGTTAATCAGAAGGAGACAACGCTAGAAGTTAGATGGCTTTAAAGTTAGGACAATGATAATAAAGCCTAGCTAGTATTCCGATTCATTATTCAGCATGAGCAATGGCGCTCTGTACGAATCAAATGAACGAATGGCCATTGGTCGAACTGCAGCTGCGAAACACACGCTCAGACCCCAACAATAACTCTATAGAATAAGGAGAAAAACAGCTGTGATAATATGGTGCAGTCGCTTAAATTAGTCATCTTCGTACTGATTCGCAGTGGATAGGATTAAACGCTTTTTCAGCATAAAGCTCTATGTAGCGTTCCCTGTTTGGCATGAGATGGCGCGAAGGGCGATATAACAAATGTCTGCTGTAAGCGCAGTTTATGGCCAGTATAGAACATTGTGTTTAGATAGATATAATATATAAGATAGGTAAAGCAAAAGTTCTTTGTGGATCAAATAGGTAATAGTAGTAGCTGAATGAATCTTATAATTACCAGTAGTTATTTAATCTGATACATATATACACTGGGTACCTGATAAAAGTGACTTGAAGGAATTGTTTTTTGGGCAGTATCGATATCCCTAAAGGAGAATTATAATCTGACGATCGAGTCAAATACGTTTTTCGTCGTTAATAGGGCGCACCTGCATCGTTTAACCAAATTATCAGTACATAAACATTACTTGACTCTGTAATACCTAAAATCAGCGAAGGCATGAAGCGCGTGAAAAATTGGCATTTACGAATAGCACGCCTTCAGTCACATACGAAATTTGTCGAACTCACCTCGATATTTTCGCTGTCTTCTGACGATGCCGTCGAATGGCCTTTGTCAGGTGTAGCAAGATGGACCAGCCGTTCACAACAATGATAAACTAGCCGCGGGATATATCTGCATTATTTAGACCACAAGATGTTCCCGCGGGTCTTAGATAGTTTTTTTTATTGACAACTCTGCCTGATTACGAGACCGCTTTGGTTCGCGTGAGTCCTCTAACAGGACTGGAGCTGAAGACTATTATAGTCTGAAATCTCCGGTGTAAGATCTATTGGCTCCTTATTTTTTGACACTACCTTTTGAAATTAATAATTGTATTACCCCTATAAGCTTGTCTTTTTGCGTTTGCAGTAAAAACGATGCTAAATAATACTGTCGTATAAATTGGCAAGCCCACGTGCAACCTATGCAAATCCAATTCAAGGTCTCGTTGGACTAACATCTCTAGCTAACTATAACCAGATGTCTGCAAATCGGAATTTTTATTTTTTAAAAATGCTTACCGCAGATGACGTTGCTCTAAGCCATGAAGGATTTTATTTTGATCTTCCAAACACTTCCACAACGTATACGTCTTTTTTCCTTTGTCCCTGAAGAACAACGTTACGAATGTCAGGACCAGCGAAAATTTTAGATAAGCGGCATCCTAATTTTACTATAGGAAAAGTATCAGCTTTGTTATCTTTGAAAGTAACCGCGATCCTTCAACAAAGCGCGATCTACCGCGACAACAATAACGCGCCCTAACAAAAAAAAGCTGCATGTAACCTGCAAGAGACTAATGAGAGATTTAAAAAATAATCGGTTTTTTTGCTCTAACATCCTATACATTCTAACAGACTATATGCTAAAATGCCATACCACCGATAAATCGTTTGTATTTGATTTGTTTTCTTGTATGTTTAGATAGGACAGAAAAAGTGGTGTGTATATATATATAGCGTTGTGCACTTGTAGTATTTGCTTTGGTAGCGTGGCACTTACGAGTTTTGACGATATACCCAGCTTCACACATATTCACAATTTGAAAATACTGATTAACTTACTGTTGTGCTGGAAAAACGACAAAGAGGGGAAGAACGTATTGGGCAAATTCTTGAACGCAAAGTATTTGATCTGAAGTCTGAATTGAACCTGGTCGCTTCAGACGAACATACCGGATTGCGTCATTTGCCCGACATCGCAGCCAATAGATCTAGAAAGAAAATGTTGACAAAATTCCATTATTTCAGTTATGTGACATTAAAACCTGTCATGGTCCTTAAGGGTCACTGCGCATAATTAAAGATGGCCCAAAGTATTAGTATTTACAATAACTTTGTCGCTCATATCTGTGTTAATGAACAAATAAGTGTTGTTTATAACTTTTCTTAAATGGCAATCAGTACCATATGGAATACTTAGATAGCCTGCTGACCAGTAACGAAATTGATTTGTTTTGTAAATTTGTAAGAGAAAGGCTCATCAAGCATTTCAGTCAGTTTTATGATCTTGGTAAACGATTTATATAAGCGTACTGATTGGACATAATTTGGCAAGGCAGAATGAATCTGCCTTAGACACAGCGGTGCCGTCAGGTCATAGTGTTGGCAATCAACGTCTGCGAACACAAACTTCCCGGACTGCACACCCACCAATTTATCCACCCATTTTACAGAAACTTTCCAGCTGATGAGCAGTTGCAGCAATAGCAGCATCGACTGGTCTGGTCTTCTAGATGCCATTTTCTCCTCCACCCGCGATATAACCCGACCGTTTACGTGTGAATATCACTGTATCCACGTGTGAAGACACCAAATTCTGTTAATCGCTTATATGGCAAAGTGCTTAATTAGGGCGAAATCCAGTTTAAGGGATCTAGGATTGCAAGCAATTCTAATAATGACTAACGTGAACAATTAGAATGTCAAGCGGAGTGCGTCTAGATCCTAATCGGTTTGAAGGCCTAACGGCAGTTCCAAGCATAAAACTCGAATTGTTTAGCTCCTAGGAGCTATGCAGTAAAGTGCCCTGGCCAACAAGTGCATAACGTCGGTACCAACACACTGCAAAAATAAGATCACACGTGCAGTTCGTCGGAAAGCCACAAATCACGACAACATTGTCGATCTGTGCAAGCAACTTCCATACGGATCTTTTTCCATGCAGTGTATAGTGTAAATGAGATGAGGAAAAACGCCTGGGAACGATCTAATGATGAGAGATATAGCTTCGACTCTCATGGCTTCTGCGTAAATCTTATTTATTACGTGCAGTACAGTGCAGACAGCATCGAGATGTACTCTGTATGTACGATAGCTGTTCTAAGATAGCTCGATTCGATGATGTCTACTGCATCATACCGGGGCCTATGTATAAAATGGCAAGGTAACCTACGATAAGATGAGAATGTCTCGAGCTATGCAGCTTTTAAGCTATGAAGCATCTTTAACTATACGATTGAGATATGCTCGGGTAGGTTTTGTGTGTATAATAACTTTATCAAGTACTATGATTATCTCTATGGGTAGGTTGTTACTACACTGTTAGTTACAACTACGCTGTAACTAGTTTTTCGCAGTTTATATAAAGGTTTAATAAAATATGTGTTATGTCTTTCGTGGAAGACTGTTTCAATTATTTGAAGGGTTCGAAGGGAAGCTCGATTCAGTAAGATGCCTCCTATTCTAGAGACTTTAAGAAGCACAAGAATTCTGTTATTTTAATTAAAAATTTTTATAACTCGACCTGAATTGTTGAACGAAACACCAGCTATTATGCCAAAATAAAAGCTTGCTCCTTCCATTAAGCGCTTAGCGATGAACATAATTAGATTAGCTTGTTTCTTATAGCAAAAAGAAAAAATAACCTACGAATGTGAAATTATTTACCAATTACTGAAAACGCAGAGTGTCCATGATTTCTGACCCGGCTTAAGACTTAACTATTTGTAGTATATAAAATAATTTTAAGCGGTAGAATAACGGTCGTCGGTTTCTGCTCGGTCTGAATGATGCTGTTAAGGGGACTCAGTTTTGCGCCTCCAAGCGATTTTTAATGCACCAATTATTAATTTACGATCGGGGGGCGGTCAGCATTTTACATCTTCCCAATGATCCCAGCAACTCTTGAGCGCTAAATTTAGAGGAATCGATTTAACGGACGAACTCAACATCTATATTTGTGCCTTGTCCTCTGACTATTACCATAACAAGGATAAAACATACATCAGACGGAGAAACAGACGTTCGTCAACATAGGATGTGTGTGTATCTATATATATACATATATAAAGATGTCATAGAGGGCGCTGCTCGCATCATAGAAACGAAACGGCGCTAGCTGACTAAAAAAATGACAAACGCATATACGAACTAAATTTGGCGATAGGACGCAATTGGATAGAATTTGATATATAATATAATACAAGGCTATCAGCAGTCCCACTCAAAAGAAGGATTTCATGAATAAACAATAGAAAGTAGAACAATAATCCATATTTCTCATCACGCATCCAAATAGGCTTCGGACATTTGTGCCATATAGTTATAACTGTATACCGACCATCTCCTAAATGGCTCAGACGGCTTTGGAAGCCTGGTTTGACGAGAAAGCGACGCCATAGAGGCGAAGCTTCTGGGGAGCATTGGAGTATTTATAGCATAGATTTACAGACCCATAAGTGATAAGCGTTCCGCCTCAGTTGCAGTAATGCAGTGTAAACATCAAACATTTTTTACGTTTTACGTCTCCCGGTTCGAGCACTGGAGGTTTTTTTGATAGCGTTGCGGTTTACGTAGATGGCAAAATTTATAAGTTAACTTCTTCTACCAGTAGTAGTTGAATGGATGCAGCCCTCAACACATACTTGTTTGCACCAATTGTCATTAATCATAAAATTCCCTTACGTGTTATAGATTTGCATGTGTTGAGTTGTGCTAGGTTTTTTTTATACATTTGACTGTTTTGGTTACGTTGTACCGAGAAACAAATCTGCGTTAACATAGTGCGTTCGAATAGAAATATGGCATTGCAAAGAAATACGTCAAAGGTACTCTGCCGTACGAAACAGGTGACTTAAATAGAAAATATCGGTCAAAAGCCTTTATATACAAAAATAGTATTATACCGAACCAAATACAGGATCAAAATATTGATACCAGTAGCAAAATCATCGTTAATAGAGCAGCAGCTCACCAGATAACAGGCGATGAGCACTCCCGTTCGTCCTAGGCCCGCGTGACAATGTACAGCGATTTTGCCCTGCCGTAGACTGAAAGACATTACCTTCACTATATCAAGTATTGTCCACTTGGGCAGCGTTCCATAGTCCTTCCATGCAAAATTGTAAAAAAATACTGAAATGTAACAGAAGCAAACATTTTTCACTTTAAATGATCGGACCATTAAACCAAAAGGAAGTAAAGTAACACACTCAAAAACCATTGTATTTTTTTAAGGTTATATATATATATATAGGTTATATATATAGTTTATATTATTATATACACTGTTTTTTTACCACTACCCTTGGTTGTAAGATCATATCAGTTACACTGATCCTATGAAGGACTCTTTGGCCCTAAGCGAGACAGGGCCCGAACACAGTTTTTCGACACTAGAGTGAGTGTTAAGATCGGTCACACACATCAGACGCAAGCGGGACACGGTAATGAAAGCTTGGGCAGGATCATATAAAGGATAGCTCTAGCCCGTGTTAGATGTGACTGCTAATCGATAATAATCGATCTCGTTGCAACTTTGTTGCCGACATACTTAGATACCTCTAATCAGATAGCTTCACTTCTAAGTATCGAGTATTGAACCTAGGTTGAATTGTTGCGCAAGGTACAGCGTGGTGGTGGTCTTTTTGTAAGAATGTGCACGCTTTTGATTGAGTTACTTGAAAACTGTGTACGCTGCAATTGAATGTCGAAGTTTGCACATTGCTTAGCTTGTTTACTCTATCTCGATCCAGCCATTAACTTGGCGCTGCTGTTATATGGCCGCCAGTTTTTCTTGTGAAAAAAAATCCACCTTCACTCGTCGTCTAAAGCTGCTTGATCCAATGCTGGCCTTGGCCACATTGGCCAGTATGGTTTGTCAAGGAAATTCCATGAAAGCGAAGAAGCCTTTATAATTCATTAGCACCCCGTAAACTGGCAACCTATAATCATACATTTCCGTTGGTAGCCAGCAATCACTAGAACTCAAATCCGCTTCGAAGGCCTAATTCAGATGTTCTGTTACTGCTACCGTGACGCTAACGATTAGACTCGGAGTGTTAAACGCTTCCATGGCACCTCTTACGGCCACAATGACGTTCCTCCAAACATCAGAGAAATCTGGAACCGTTAACTGTTCCTAATAGTACTGTTGCTACGGCCACTATAAAGAGATTGTAATCTGAATCACAGCACCCTAGATTAGAATCGCAGGCCAATGCTTAACGGACATCGCTCGTAGGTACTTCTGGGAAATGTAGCTTTGAACGCCTTTTGTGCTAAAAAACTATGGAAAATTTGATATTATAATTAAATCATTGCTATATAAGCATTATTATATTGCAGAGTACAGCTCTCTTATTCTACATCTTTTAAGAAATGGGCACAAATTTACGAGATTTTTTCTATCTAGAAGGGCGGCTTGTTACAAAATCAACTTAAAAAGCCCTTCGTAGTGACTAGCAATATTGTTTGTGTGCTATACACAAATCAATAAATAGATTAGACACTTAAAATAATTAATTTATAAAATATAGGTACAAACGAAAACTGTAAATTAGGTCTATCTCGTACTTTGCTTTTCCATGAGCTGCATGGGTTTATAGGAGAAACCCTCATCCTCGAGTCCATTTCCGCACGATGCATGTTCGCCTGGACTTTGAAGATTGAAGACGGCTCGAATTCCATGCTCCTGAAACTGTTGCACGATGTCATAGCGCACAAGCAGGCGTGTCGTGGGCCGAGACATTGCCAAAACGTCATCAGTTACCCTGAAATAGAAAAACAAAATAACAATCTGACATAAGATATACGTGCCAATGTATTTGCCTGCATTTTAAGGAGAACACGAATAAAAGCATTTTAGTAGCCCTTCTTTCTTCTCTCTATATTACTTCTGCTGTTACGGTATCAGAGAACATAGATATAGAAATAGATGTGTACATAATTCTGTTAAAAATCACAGTTAACACGGAGCTATGACACAAACAAAAAGAACGTTTGTCTCATTGGTTCGCCTAATGCATTATATATATATATACATGTAGATGGAATTTTGGCTTGTGTGCGTTCATTTGAGCACATGTACACGAACAAAGCCAGTGTAGTACCAAAGTAGACAGCCAGTATATGCCGATAGTACACTCACTGTCTGTGAGTCAGAAGTGGTCGGTTATTGATGGCAGCTGTTTGTCGCACGCCGTTGTTGCTGGCGTGAACGTGTCCGTTCGCGTATCTGTATACGTCTGCCCGGTCATGTTTAACGCTAGCCTAAAGCTCTGCTTATATCGTGCGTTCAGAAGGCATATTTAGCATGAGTACTTGCCTCCACGCATCCGTGACTGCCTCGTATTCTGGGACTCTAAGCTAGCTTCAGTCAAACGGTCTGTCTTGATGATAGAACAAACATTAATACTATGGCTCTTAACAAGAGAGAATCACGAGCCGAGGGTATCTCACGCTAGCAACAGAAAAGCCTTTTTCCTTTAACATTATTTTCATCTAAAGCTATACACATGCGTGTTAGTTAATATAACAGTAGTTAGTAAAGGTAGTCAATCAATATAAGTAATCCTGTAATACCAAAAACTAAAGGTTTGATATGCGCCGATATGCGCAACTGATGAAGTCTGTGAAATAAGGAAACGGACCTAAAAGCGCATACGATTACACGATATTCTATTGGGGATATCAGCTTAATCGGTACCGCATTGAAACTCGTAGAATTTATTGGCTATGAAAGTAATGGTAAAACTTCAGAGGATCTTTGGCCGTTTTTTTGCAAGTGAAAGTCTGCAACACATAGCAGTATGTATTCCGTAGACGGGATGAATTTATCGGACTGAACGGTCCAGCCATACACCGAAATCTCAAGCGTCACCTACTAGACTTATCTAATAATATGTTCTTATTGTAAGAACTAATGATACTTGATTATGAATATTACCAATGCGAGTAGAGTCCTCTGATGGCAGACTGTTCGGGTGGCCACTTCATTCCACCGCAGTATTTGCACGACTTTCCGCCACAGAAAAGCTGACATTGAAGATCGGGTGAGGTCGTTTTGCGCAGTCGTTCCGATATGGCGTGGTAGCTAAAAATAGATAATATTCAGTTCAGAAAAAACTGTTTTTTATAAAAGGTCGATCATTCAAGATGTTAATTGCTGATCCGTTTGTGCAAATCGTTGCACAATGATGCTACACAAATGGCCGATCCCGAAGATATCTTTAAAATATAGTTAATTAGTAATGATTCTTCACCTCGTACGCAGTTTGTTTTTCGATGATTTTTATTATGTTTTTTAAGTAAAACACCTTGTAAAGACCCTGAACGTGAACACATAAGTAACAATCGAAACGTATACGAATAAACATCGTGTTCTATAGATCGTTATTCGATTGGGTAAACACCACTCTATGTAGAAACTATACGATACTTTACTACGAACGGCAATATTTAAGTTTGACCCATCGAAGTGAGTCATTTCGACCCTTCGATGAGTCACACCGAAATACGTCAAATGCATATTTAGCATTAATTTATTCTCAGATATCTGCTAACAATCAATACCAATGGCTCGGACAAATAGGCAGACCCTACAATGCATTATCAAGAATTCAGACGCATTGGTTTCTATCGATCTGCGTTGATCTGTGCTGGGTAAGTGTGTAGATAGGCAGCCGTATCTAAATGAAAATAGTTAAACGTCGGATGCGAGCAGTGATTGAAATGGTACCTTGATCTCTTGGCGCTACTAAGACTAAAACTACTTCTTTCTTTTACAGGAACACTCTACGGATACTTCTAAATAATCTTGAACACACAGAAGTAATAATACAGCCGTACAGAGCGTCCATTCAGAAATTCAGATTTGAGATTGCTCGCCTTTTACCGTAACGTTTCTAGAAACCTCATAAGGAGCTGATTAGCGGTTTACGTATTTTTGGGGATGGTACGAACCCGATCTTTTCTTCTTGAATTCGGTCAATTATCCTCAAACTGATTTTTGCTCAGATTTTATTTCATGCTTTTTTTCAGGGTGCCAATATTGAATCGGGGAAAAAATCAGATTCTTCCTTCATATCGGTGTGATCAAGGTGCATTTGACTAACACTTCGCGCGATTTCCCAGCAGCGTCTTATTCTAATTACTACTGCCAATAATCCAAATTTAGCTTAATAGTACTGTTCGATTCGAAAACCAACTAAAGGAATCGCTGTTCTCCAAGGGACTGTTACGTCTAAAGGTAAAAAAAAAAGTTTAACATAAGAGTTATTTTCGCCATAGGAGAACCACAGTCAACCAATCAGTCAGTAGGAACGGCTCGGAGAACGAAGTTTCTTTCTATTTCATACTGAATGATTTTATTTGTAAATGTGTTTCGGTCCTGTTTCAGAATAACATTTCTACTGTCGATGTGCACGCTTAGTTTGAGAAGATATTACGCCAAGAACAATTCGATTGGGCAATATCAAAGCTACACCTTTGGCTTGAATGCTGCTGAATGTTGTCCTTAAGGCTCCGGTGTGAAAATACTTAGTAGCAGAGTACGCTTCCCTATGTTAGGCCCACGTTGCGGAATAAAAGTATTGTGAACATGACATAGAAAAGCAGGGTCACGAAGCGTTGACCTTACTAGCATAAAGTCCAACATCAAATAGCTGATTATTTCGCAAAATGACAGATTGAATAACTCTTCGTAGAGCACTACATCGTCCTGCCGCAGCTAAACAGCCTAAGTCAAATTGCGGCCTGTGTTCTGCATTTGAAAGCCTTAGAGCAAAGCAGCCCTTACAGACCCAGTTAAATTTTTTGTATAGCCATGTGAAGAATTGTCTGTGTCTTAAATAGCCTTTATTGCACTAACGCTTGTCGTGGAACATTTTCGGCTTTGTATAGGAGTTATTTGTTTTTGCGCCATGCGAGCATGAGGTTGATGACAAGTAGTTATAGATAGGATTGTCACCAATCCCACACAGAATACAATTACCCCTTTTCGAGACTCTCACGCGCGTAGGGCGCTTACGGCTATACGGAGTCTGCTCGTGGCTACGCAGTCTACTTAGGTTTAATGGCGAACATTTGCCGAGAGTAGAGTTTATAAAACATTGTCATCCGCTTTTTACGGCCGTCCAGACCGTGATTTCTAGTCTAAATCAACAGCTAATACACCTACAGGTACAAACTACAGCGAGAAAATAGCGAAGACTGCAGTGTCGGATACGGAATTGTTGGGTCGTATGTTTTTACCACATAAAAGACTGGTATTAAAGAAATACAGCCAATCTAAAAAAATACACAGCACCAGCGTCCTAGAATTGTTATTAGTCCGGCAAATCAAATGGGCAGGTCGTGAAATATTGTGGTGAGTAATTTGACACAATATGATAACTATTAGGTGGGATTATATCGGCGTCATCGTCGCATATTTAGCTAGGAACACGTTTCATAATCTCAATGGTAAGTAAGCCTGAGGAAAATCCCATTGTTGAAGCGCACGGCTTAGTAGTCCTACACGATAATAGAAGAGAAAACAGAGCATCTTTCAATAGACTCAACGTGCCTTTCAATAAAAAGGGGTAGGCGGCACTCGTTGCCCCAACCCACATATATACGCATCTAGTTTAGTAATACACTGTGTTTGAGTAGATAGTATACAACCTGGAGCGTCACTCGCAGGATCGGTTCCAACTCGAACCTTAGCCTGAGGTCGCTGACAAAGAAAAAGCTAAAAAAAGAAAAACAAACGCTCGGTCCTGTGAGCAATTCAAAGGTCCGACGACACCTCTGGCAAACAGAAAAGATATACATTAAATTTTAATGTAACATGATCGATAAGTGCTATTTGCGACACTTTGCCAGTCTACCTATTCTTATGGCATTGGACGGCTTGACGCTGATTTACTTTTAGAACCCGCATGTCGCCTATAGGTGTGTGGTGTCTCAGTGGCTAAGAGTTTGTATTGGCACACCTGAAAAAGATTCAGATGGACGCTGAACTAAACAAGTTCTAGACCAGTTCCTTTTCTATTATTAACAACTTCCTATAGCAAACTCTAATATAAAGAAAAGTCATATTGATATGGGTAACCTGTAGAAACAAAGATTCACGCTGTTCTGTGTGCAAGGACAATTTATCAAACGGATAACTGTGAAATTGCGAAGTCCTTGACGTTTATCAAAGACCAAATATTTCTCACTCTCTGTGAACATTCCTATATGAAACGCTGAACGTCTGAATCGTGTCTGTGTGTAAAATGCTGTTCAGATGTATCTGGATTTAGTTATTAATAACGATCGATGCACGCCGCTTGATTAAAGAGGTGTACTAGATAATAGCCACTATTTCAAAAGCTAACTGACCTTCCGTATTATATGTACGTCACGTAATGATTCTTTGTAATGTCATATATTGTCTTCCAAATAGAAGACAATATATGAGACTACCAGACGAATAGTTTGCTTACAGACAAACTGTATCTTAATATATAACATAATATAGTATTTACTATCAAGATATTGGCTTGATGAACTTCCTAAAAGTCCACTTGAACCTTTAATTCGGATCTGAATCTGTCATTCATCGTAAACCCATTAACAAATATATAGGAAATAAGGAAGAGGACATGATTGATGAAATGAACGACTTTCTATAATATGGAAGATAAACTATAATCAGCTCTCAGATAATGGTGACTTGCCTTAACACTATTACCAAAGCAAAGATGAATACCCAGCAAAAGAAGACGACGGCTGTAATAAGTCAATTTTTCTAGAGAATAGATAGAACTCGTATGATTTTTTTTTTTTGGCACGAGATGTGTTCGACGATGTTATATTATACGATATATAATGAATTAAAGTGACCTCACATATGTGTTGGTGAAGACTGGAGAGTACGGAAGGTTTTTAGTAATTTAAATAGCCGTTATATATTCAGAAGAAAAATAGAAGACGCCTGGCCCACATACCTGATAATGATAGCTTCTTTGACACCCTTTCGATCTCTGATTGGAAACCAAGGAAATCTATTATAATGTAAAGTAGTATCTCGAACTTTTGGATTCGAAGATGTTCGGCTTCAGTTTGGCTAGATCATATACGAAACGATACGGTCTTATCCTATGAGTTGCTTAATATCGATGCGCTATTCTTAATTAAAACGCCCTTTCGTTCAAAGGTAAAAGACACAATTATATAGAGGACCTATAGCGACTAGAGCAAGTTACGTATATAAAGCATTTAAGAAAAAACACGAAGAAAAAGCTATAGATTTTGCGGCCTTATTCTGATTATCTACTAACGCGATACGAAATCTTCAATCGAGCTTTATCTGTAGTGTATATTTTGAATGCGGTATAAAATGACGAGCAATTTTAAGCCTTATTGTGGAGTCGACGCTTTCGCAAAGACTGTTTTGGGAAAATTTCTCAGCTTAGATACATTTAAGGAAAGCTGCTAGCTCGCGGCTATAGCAACTGTGTCACAGCAATGAACTTCTCATGACAGGCTAAATATTTCACTAATTTTGCATGCAATAATTTTCAATCAAAGCAACATACGCCATTTTAAAATCAGCTTATAGCGAATCTTATTCTTATTTCCCGTGACGTCCGCAGACATTTTCAAAGCTAAGAAAAGCTGGAATTAGCTATTTGGGGTATTGCTATTTGACCTAATTCTCTTATTTGCACATGGTTGACATACAGTATTTCAGCTAATGTTCCTTTCTTATGGTATATACATTTATAGATATATTATAACAAATGATTGCAGGCCATACTAAAATGCTCGCCAAAACAAAATAACTACAAGAAGAATAAGGAAGGGCTAGGGGCAGCAAATCTTCTCGCCCCCTTGAAGCCTTGTACCTAACGGTATAGCTAGCATTGATACTGTAATAGAGTAATAAAAAGTACTTCTATCGTATGTTCATTACTAAGAAGCGCTCTAATGTTAGAGTACACACTTCAGGTTTGTATTAGTGATGGTCGATCCGCCGTAGGCTATGGTAGATACTATTGAAGCTCAGCAACAAGCGACTACTCATTGACACAGTGAAATCGAACCCAGCAAGCCATGGCGCAAAATTCGAAATCGATGTCTCGCCGTAAAACTTCAAAGTAGCAAGTACAAACTCCACACATTGTTCTCATTACTAGTGAGTCTCAGTACTCTTCATTAGCCTACCAGTCTATAGTCATTCGCTTACCTCGACCATTTAAAGATGTTGAATAAAATGACCACAGTAGCATCTCCAAAATGGATTTCTACATCTGTTGTTACTATCTGCAATTCAGTCTGTTCGAATTATTTTTACATCTGTACGATTAGTTAAGATAGCTTTAAGCATATTTGATGTTCCAACAAGGTATGCCTCTCCTTCTGCAAATGCTCCTTTTAAGTATCACTCTTAAGTAAGATTTTTCAATGACCGCGCGCAGTATTGTGATTACCACTAGTTGTTAGATTTGATCGTTTGCTACGTCAGGATAATTTGATGATCTGAAATACAAATTTCAATATTTATCAATCGATACTTCTTCAAATGGTCATCGAAACATCAGCAGCACGATCGTAGACCTCCTTAACATTAGAGCCCTTCTAGCCTATTTGGACGGCCTCGATAAAAGTGTTCTTTGAAAGTTTCGGCTTGCTTAAAATTCACACCTTTTCTTAAAGTTAGAGGGGTACAGGAGACAGCCTTCGATGGCTCGAACAATGAGCCTTATGCCCATTTGCAATGAAGCCTATTGAGCTCTTTATGTAACATTTGTGAGACAGTCGAACTGGTAAATGACAAAGTAAGATCCTATTGAAATTACTAGTTCAAACAAGAGCAATACGTTTTAGTTTGATTTTTGTGTAGTGCTAGCATGTTTCGTTGTAGCTATAGTAAAGTCTGCTGCAAAGACTATTCTAGCCTATCGAGGGACGCAGTAATGGAGCCTGTACGATGAACCCAAGTGGTCTCAGATATCGTTGTGATAACTGTTCTATTTGAGTGTTCGACGAACTAAATTGTACTAGTTTCGTTTGAATGTGGGGAAAAAATGGGGTCCACGGCATAATTAAACGTAACATTGTATAAGCCGCCTCCACGAGAGCTTATCAAATTAGACCGATTCAGCGGTAGACCATCTGACAGAAATTGGGTAATATGGGCATTACAGGCTTGAAAAATACAATTGTTCATTTTGTTCTTGTCAGTTCGATAACGATATAAGGTTCTGCTAAATTAAGTTGTCTCAAGCTACTAAAGGCTTCTTTTCCACTTTCCTAAGCGTTATTTACCGTGTGGATCAAAATAAATTAAGACATATATACAAATAAGGAAAAGCATCAGAGTGCTCACACTCTCACTATAGAGCATATCTTTTTGTAGAGGGTCGTATAGATGCCGAAGCAAAACAAGGCTAACTTATGCTATAACAATGGCTTATCGTCTACCGAGTATCGAGTAGAAAACGCACACTAAAGTACTAACTAGGCAACTATTTTAAGGTACTAACAACACCGGTGTTCATTGAATTGACTCCTATTATGCCGAGTCGCAACTGGCGTAGAAATAACAATCGCGTAAACAGTAACTCTGCCCCATTTACAACATATAAGTTGAGCTATTTCTCATAACCCTATAGCGTATATAATGTAATCCCTTGCAACCGTAGCGCTAGGCAAGGCAGACGACGCTGCCCCTGAGAACATAATCGATTCCCGGCTAAACTCGTTCAAGAGGCTTAATCCGCTTTGCCGCCAAGGATAGACGGTTCATAACTGAATCAGCCCCTTGGAATATTCTAAATCTTTAAAGAATTCCCACAAAATACCATACATAGATTAAGCACAATACGCTTTAACGTACAGATGATTCTTACATACTGCTTAGGCAAATACCTATTTTAGTTGATAGTATATTATTGATCACATCGATGAAAAAGAAAATTTTTGACTTCGTAAACTATCAGTTTCATCGTCTTATTAATCCGTTGCCATTCTAAATATTGAAATACCGAATCTATTTCCATTAAAGAATGATAATTTGATGACCAACCATTCCACGACAGAACTTAGCGCTGTGCAGTCTCATACGTTACATTTGGAGCAGGGTACACCGATTTTTCGCTCTTATGTTGCAACTTTTCGTTTTCGCCGCCACATTATAGCCTTACGTTTTCCGTACTGTTTCAACATGGAAGCTGTTAGAGTCCGACACTTCAGAAACTGCTCTGTTCTCGTTCAACGAGAACTCCATCGTTAAACGACCTTGCAACTTACCGGACTGGCTTTCAAAATCTATCCTGCTGCTGCTGCTGCTTCATTGGACATTCAGCGCCATTGTGAGCACTTTGTCGCTTGCCTTCACGTATTCCAATCGCCATTAAACAATGTTACGCACTGTTTGAGGGACGCGTGACAGCACCTACCGCCACGCACTTTTGTTACATGCAAACATCCTGATATATGGTAGTAACATGGATTTACCTTCATTCCCACACAGCATCGCGAATCAAGCATCGCCGATATATTCTTATGCACTTAAATTTAGACCACATTTGTAGCAGCGCTTCAACGAACGCTTAGAATAGTAGAATTTGAAATCGCAAACATTTTTGCTTGTAACTTGCCCTCGGAGGGTTTTTTTCTAGTATATATTATAATGTGAACGATGGCAATTGGCAACAGAGGTGATGGAGGGCGTATTATTGCTGCTATGGTTATTTCACGCTTAGAATTTAACAATGATTACCTCGGCGACGGGGGATCTTCATTCATGCTGCTGACCATCGTGAATTCACTTCATCCCCACAAGCAACTGGCATCATCAACGTCAAACAACCAAACATATTATTGAGGTTGGCGTTACTCGCTCGGGGAGAGGTCTAGGTCGTCGCGGTTTCCATAGAGACACCGAACGCACAGGCAAAAAAGGGCCAGTCTCCAAAGCCCCATCGCCTTCTGATTTTGTGAATTTCGCCGTCAAACGGCCGGATTATACAAACGGAATAAACGTGAAACAATATATATATATATATATACGCAAATAGACCAAATAGTTTTTCTGCTCCTCCATGAAATATTTGAAATCGTTACATTTATGATATGCAATATAGCTTACGGAATGAACGGGTCTCACCCAATGCACTATTTCAAATAAAACCGCCTCTCGATAATTTGGATAAATGAAGGAGTCAACACACCCATTCTGGTCATGCGTGTTTTACTTGGAGTGAAACATTTCACAGTACTAATGTCGAAGAACAGAGCAGCACAGCTGTATGAACGTATAAACTACTGCAAAAAGAACAATTTGTTCTTAGGACTCATTTTCCATTGCTGCAAGTATTTGGCAGTGTGCTTAAGCGTTTATGATAAGAGACTTGATAATTCGCAAAGATAGCAGAGTTTGCTAGACTGAGAGGATTAACTAGACCCATTGAATTACTCTCAACATTAGCACGAATGCTGTTCTTTAGAAGCTTTAATTTTGTTTCTTTCGTATATTTGGTACGTTTCTTTAAAAGTCTATGGGATATATAACGTCCAGATGCAGGGTATCAGGCCTCAGGTCCCATCAGGCGTTACTCAATATAGAATTGCATACCTTAATTATAAAATGATGACTATCTAAGTGTTACTGAGATCCACAGATGTAGCCCAAGGTATGAAGGGTCCCATACTTTTGTATCGGTACGATACCTTGAAAGCAACGGAAAACAATTCTTTTCGGCACGAATAAAGGCCAACGAACAAAGAAACATCCGGTGAGAATAACGAGGCAAGATTTTAGATAGTTTAGTGCTGAACTTTATAATATTCGAAGAGTTGTACAGATGTCGTTTGTCCTAATCTTTAGCTTCTTTTAACAACGATCGCAAAGATACCGGTCTAGAAAAGTTAGGAAGAACTACGAGAAAGAAAAAAGCATTTGATGAATTTTTGAAGCTGTCCTCGGCGAGTACTCAAAAAAAATTTTGATTCGAAGCCATTGTTCATCCTGCTATTGCGTGCTGGTCAAGTAGTCAGCTAATTAGAAGTACTGTGAATAAGCGTATAGTAAATATTATAATTTTATTACTGTCAATCTCCAACGTTACGCAATAACGCATGATTATTACATACATGTACGCGAACCCTTTTACGAAATAAAAGGCGGTTTATCTAAAAAAATGTGGAGCTTCCTTTTCGACCTGCACAGAGTTTTTTTTGACGCTCATTATAATGTTCAATGAAGTATCCTGCTCTAAGTAAATACATGGAAAGTTAGTTAAGCAATCTAAGCCAAATATGGCCTCTGCTCAAAAAAAAAAACCTTTTTGGAGTTTTAGAGTAATAACGGTACGGAATTGTTGAAGGTAATTTCACACTGTGAACGACACTGAAGAATTTCGAAATAATTATCTGACTCAATATCGGGGAAAATTGCTTGTTATTGTTGTTTAGACAGAGCGAAAAACATGCATCCTTTGATCGGCCTTTGATTTAATAAAAATTCATTGACGACCAAAGTTCTCAACAAATGAAGACTGCCCGACCTGTATGAATATTGGCCCCTCTACAGCTAGATGGCTAAACACATGTTATTGCGGTAAGAAACCCGCCACCCTGGACTTCTCCTTAAGGTCTATCTATATAATCTTGAGGTGCACATATAAAATCGACAGTCGATTTTGGAGCCTATTTGCTTCTTGGCCCCAATTTCTACGAGTTGTTTTTAGACACAAAGCTTCCCTAGCCTTTTCCCTCAACACATTATATTTTCTCTCGAACTCACTCTGTTGGCAGTGGCACCTGCCCCTTGTTGTGGAACTGGAATTGTACACTTTCGTCAAAATAAATACCTTTTAAGCTGTAATGCACATTTTCAAAATAGGACGCTTTCGATAATGCGAAAGAACACAATATAAGGCACGCTTTTCGTTTTTCTGCTCGACAAACTTGAAAAATAAACACGTTTCTCAGCTATTGACTTTTTTTTAAAAAACGTGCATCAGACATCCATCATATAGCCAAAACATTCGGCTTTATTTTATAATAATTTCAGTTTTTAGACTAATGGGAAAAAATAAGTGTCGATTTTGTTAGCAGTATCTCCTAAACGCCGTGGGACCTTTTTGTATGCTTACTTATTTTCACAAAAAAACAGCGAACAGAAAACGATACTCCAAAGGAAATTCGAACTCGTCCCAGAGCTTCGAGTGGCGACGGATTCACACAACTTCGTTTTGAATACAACGAATCATTCTGCAAACGCAGAACTGTTTTGTGTCACAAATGTGTATTTACTAAACATGAAATGAAGGAATGAAAAAGAAGCCGAAGATAAATAGTTATTCATTGGGTAACGTCACCCGTCAAGCTATCATCAACTTTACAATGGGAGAACGATAAAGTATCGAGTCATATTGTATAGACACAATGTTCTTTAGGTATCTTATAATTGTATAACAGCTGTGTGATTTTTATCAAGCAATAGCATTTATTGAAGATGAGTGATAATTTCGGTTTCTCTGCAGTGTTCACTTGATTTTATTTATTTACAAAATATCGAATTCGTTCGAACGGGGCAATTGCTTTCTAATGCGTCGTTACACTTATCTTGGCCTGTGTGATATCTAGCGTAATGGCCAGAAACTAAGAAATTAGTCGCGTGTTCCCCTCCGTTCGGAGTCCGAAATGATTTTTTTTCGACATTTCGCACTAATATTCTAACAGGAACGGTAGGACAAAGGCCACGGTTACGGCGCAAACGAAGCTGTTTCCTACACGATTTAGTAACATATTACCCGAATTTACAAATGAAAGGTATTATATTTGCATTTTATTGCCTATTTCAAATGTCGGGGCTGGTAGCTAACCTTGTAATCCTACGCAGCTTTTGTTTATACATCTATTTATTCACCCCGACATGTTCCTCGGTTCAATTGGCAGTTGAACTGAGTATCACTTGCTTTTCACAGGTTGCGAGCACCGAACGTTGTTTTCTAGTGGGAAATAATATTACTTCTTCATTAAGATATATTTATTCTTGTCTTATCCCTATGTAATGCCGGCCAAAACGCTTGCGGACTATTTTACCATATTTGTCAGCCGTTTCAGACATACGGCCATCAATAAACGGAGTTTGATGCATCATAATTTAATTGTATATTATCAACATCATCACCACGCACTTGTTGTTGTTTTTTGCGTGTGTTTCGCCGCTCCACCTTCGCTCACTAAGTTAAGACGCTTTTTAGAAACTGCTTTCGAACGGCGAGTTACTTTCGCGCTGAATGAGCTCGCTTGTCTTAATAGCTGTAACTATTCGCGGACGTGTTGCGTTATTTGAGCTCTTTTAGGCACAGAGTGGCGAAGAACGATCGAACTAGGTTATCGTTATCAACCGCTCACAAAAGACGCCCCCATTGTAGAGAGCTGTGCTTAACCGCTTAATAAATGCCGACGACATATGTCATAAAATTATATTACGTCTCATTGACATCATCTGTCAGCAGGGTGGCAGCACAATCAGCGACCCCACAGTGAACATGTGATGGGTCGATAGATAGTGATGTCGAACGGAAAATACCTGTTTGATTCGAAAGTTTTTGACCAAACCAGGTACCGTGTTCATCAAAAAGTCCTATTGCAATATCTCCACCTTCTCCATGGCGGTAATGACGGCGTTGTCCATATACAAGTAATTACGAAATAATACTATTAAAATACTACACAACAACGACCAGCAGCAGCTTCGAAATTCGTCTTCAGGCAACCTCCTCCTTCTTTGATTGTTTTTGTCAAAAAGGCCAAAATACGCTGACAAAGCGGTGAGCCTGGCTAATAGTATTGAATTAATTCTGAGTGTTCTAATACCCCTAAGCCTACCACAACAAGTGATCCACAGCACACTGCGGCAAACTGGCAATCTTTGAGCGCCCGACAAAAGATTAGTTCCGTTCTTTCTGAGGCTAGTGTAGTTGTGTAATATAGTTCGCGGCATGAGTCCCCCCCCCCCCCCAAACGCATATCGTTGTGCCGCATTACGACCGACAAACTCCACCTGTGCCCCCATGTTGACGTATCGAAATTCAACGTTAATGACGAAGGTCATTAACGTTAAACTTCAATATAGCACAACTAAGTCACTATTACGTACAAGTGTATACACTGTACAGTCCAAAACTCGAACCTATGACAATAGTACCTTTAAAAATATTTTATGAAGATATTAATTAACTTATTAAGTTCTTGAGGTAAGCATTGGTAAGAGTTTCTTCCGATTAATTTTCTGTCACGGTCATACGTTGCTCTTTTAACATTGCGTTTGATTTGCCAACGTATTGATCGACAGTCGACAAGTTCGGAATGAGCCCTTTTGATATTTCATTCAGTTATGCAGTAAAAAAAAAGCACGTGATATGACCACAGAAAAATCAAGTTGGGGTTTTTAAATAATTGTCTTCGAAGTGAGCACGTACGTACATAGAGTCTCTGTTGATATCCTTATT